GTCTATTTATTTCCCTGATTTAAAATTAACCTTAAAATTATGTCTCTATATTATATGCTTGCAGTTACAACGTAAACAGAATAAATTTTGTTCAAAACTACAAAACTTATTAAAGAATACTTGATTACAAAACTCATAAAGTAATTAATGCTTTTACTCGTTTGGGAAAAGCCTCAGTCCTATGTAGAAAACAAGCAAGAAGTCCAAGCGGGCCATTTAAACAAAATGTTATTTAGAGTATATTGTTTTACAATTAAATATTAAAACATTTAGAAACAACATTATTCACCCCATTTCCAGGGTTTATCAATCGTATATTTTATTGTAATAACCTTTTTTTTGAACAACTTTGCTTAGTTAAAAATTTTCAGTTCTTGATAGGCTGTATATTTTATGACTTGTTATAAAAGCATATACTTTGCCCCACGAAGGAAAACTTATTCTTTGAAGTGGAATAACTGATATAACTAGCTTGTACTTGTTCCTAGTATTTACAGAAATATACATTACTATTTTTAATAAAAACTATTGTTGTTTTTGTGTACATTAAATTAACAAAAACAAAAAATAAAATTAATAAAAAACATACATTAAATTTTCGTAAAATTACTAAAACGCTATAGTTAATATATTTACTTCTAAAAAAACTTTCTTGAAAAGACTCCTTTGGACTTAGGTTGTAAAGTGCTCTCATGGCTCACTTCTGCAAAACAAAGTTATTTCAATATGAAATGCATTAACCCCATTGCAAGATCCCTTATGTAATAAATATGGCGTATCAAAGGGTCACTTTCTCTTTGTTATGGAATGGAAAATATAGTTGTTTCACATTTGCACCCAAGATAGAGAGAACTTGTAAATTTACTCCGTCCATGTCGCAGACTCTTGCAGATATATTCATCCCAGCCTGAGCCTGGAAGTTATGCCAGCTATAACTGATTCAAGACCTGAAATCAAAAATTAAATATGTTTTACAACTTTTATAGAGCTTTTATAATCAACTTTAATTTCAACTGTTATAATGATATGAAAAATCATACTAAGTACTAATAAATACCTCTTTTATTAGTACAGTAAGTTGATTTGCAGTTAATAATGCATTGGATAAATAGTGGGCAATGGGCTGTTTCAGTCTTCCTAGTACTAACAATCATAAATACTAATGCATATGATGCAATGACTGAAGATGTTCCTTGTGTACTATGATCCTAATACACTTCAATCAAATCTTCTTTTGGATTATACATCACATTTTTTTAAAGACATTTCATCAAATATCAATATAAATTGATTGTCTGATGGTTTTATAGTATTTAAAAAATCTGACGGGCCTTAAAAACTAGTTGATTGATTTCAATAGTAAAGAGTACTCAGTTAACCCTTTAATAGAGCCTGAGTAGCCTGCAACAGGTGGGGGACCTTTTATAAAGCCACAAGGCTATGATTTTCATGTGTCATGTAGCTTTTTATTTCAATTTCTTATTTGAATTTGTAATTACAGCGCAAATGTTGATGTTATTTTCTTGGATAATTTACTTACTGTATTTTCATTAGTTAAACACTTAATACAATTTTGGCTTTTAAGGTTTTAATGTGATTATGCAATTGGTAGAATTGTCTTATGTATCACTTTCTTTAATTTTCTTTATTCGTCATGCAGCACAGTTTTTAGTCTCTATCCCGTATTCCACTGCGAATCACTGTCAAACACATTGCAAGCGCGTCCAGAACCTCGATTTCTTTCTTTTTTGTTGTAAATGTACAGTACACTCATCACTTGAATCCATTATTCACCTCCTCATCACTTGAACCCATTATTGTTGAAATTTCTCTGTCTCGGTTAAAAAGTGTCTACAAATACAAAACGTCAAACTTATCTTTCAACATAACAATATTTCTACAAATTTGTTTTCAAACATTTTGTTACAGCAGATATATAGATATATATATAGTTATAATATGTAATGTACAATAAACTGTCAAACACAAACACATTTCACTAAAACATGTTCCTTGGCTATGCAAACGCTTTTTGATACATTGACAGAAAACAGTGTTTAAAACATGTTTTTTTGTGAAAATCGCGTCGGTGCAAACGCACGGTTACTTCTACACTCCATCCATACCTCCATGGTACTACCTATGCACCAGGGATGCCCGATCTGAATCAATTTTCTGGAAGATCGATTCACGGCCATACGATCTACCCTTTGACTAGAGAAAAATGAAAGGACATGACATAAAGATCGTTAGTTGTAGGAATGTAATGAAATATCGGCGTCTCTTTTTAGCTTATGAGTATATTCGTATAGTAGTAAAATTAGTTTTATCATTACCGAATATGGCAACAATTTTTTCGCTGCGGCTGGGCGCCATGTTTTGTCGCAGTCAAAGACAATTATATCAGTAGTCATTAAGACTTTAGTGAGGTTTCTCTCGTGGAATTCGATTATTACGAAATATCTTATTCTATTCCTCGGGACCTCTAAATTGGGATAAAAAGTATCCTATATGTTAATTCAGATAATAAACTATTTGTGTGCCAAATTATTACATTCAAACTAGTCTGATACTTTTGGCGTGATTGAGGAACAAACAAACATTCAAACTTTTGCATTTATTATAGTTTGATTAGTGTGAGTATGATGAGTGAGTCTAATTTATTGTCTAACAAACAAACAAAAATTTTTTTAGTTAGTATTCCATGTTTAGTAATTCCCGTGAAATAATTGTAACATTAATAATAGAATTACATCATAAAAACAAAAAAAATAACTGCATAAACATAATGAACTGAAAACATAGGTATAACTTGTAATATATTTCAGTAATCTTCTTTTAATTTCCTATATTTTAATACCCCTATCGATAGGTTGAGTAAAAAAAATTAAGGACTTACAATTTAGCGTCAAAAATCCGTCATATTGATTTAAAAAAAACCTATTTAAGAACACATGGGTGTTTGAGACGAATCACACAAAAGAATCTTTTTCTAAATAAGCGCCACATTATCGATATTAAGTATAGTGCGCAGCACTACGTCAAGCCGCCATTTTTGTGCCAGACTCAGTTTAGGTCAGCCCCTTTAGGGGTATATGTGTTCTGTGGTTTAGGTATATACGTTTTTTCGTAGGTATGTCATGTCCTTTCTTTCTTCTCTAGTCAAAGGATCTACCGCTTTTTGAATCGATTCAAGGGAATGCGATCTTCACACAGATCGAATCGTATGCCTATTAGATCGTATGAAAAATCGTATCAACTAAAACTTAAACATCAACCGAACTGTAACGTACTAATAACGTACTAACCTGTCTTTGTATACCTATCGTATTGCCGGGGAGGGGACAGAATAACTAAAACAAAGTATTTTTTACGATTACCTACCTACACATTGAATGAGAGTAGATTCGAGTTACATCAAAAGCGATAAATGGTAAATGTATGAAATATTTTATAATCGGGTACCTATGTTAGTTCTTTAGATTGCTGTTCTGTGAGCGTAAAATATTAAATAATTGAATAAGACTAAATTTTCGGATTCTATCGCGTTTATTTAACTGTTTTTACTTATTTTTAATTCCCGACGTTTCGGGTCCTTTACAGCAACTATGCTCACGGGGGGGACTTAGATGTTTGATGTCCTAATGTCATTGTTAGCCCGGCTACCTTCAGTTTTTGAATATTAATTTTTGGTCCGATTTACGCAAAACGAACTTACAGTATCTTGAAGTCTTGCAGTGGTATGCTTGGGTTTGGGTTTAATTTTGTTAATTATAGGATCCCAAGCAGATGGCAGCACCCAACCATCTTCTCTATTGAAATTAGGATATTTTTTAATTTCAATAGCCTCGCGTATCATCCTTGGTAGGAATCGGTGTTCTTTTGCGAGGATTTGTGGTTTATTTAATCTGATGTAATGGTGTGGACGATCTTGAACATGTTCACAGACCGTAAAGCACACGAAACGTCGGGAATTAAAAATAAGTAAAATCAGTTAAATAAACGCGATAGAATCCGTAAATTTAGTTTTATTCAATGTGTAGTGTTCGCGTAAATTTAAGAAATCATTACGTAAAATATTATTTTAAAATACTTTTTAGTACGACCCTGCTAACCAAATCAAACGTTTGGGCTTTTTTTAAATGGTTAAAACTAGTGGAAATACTACCAATTTTAAAAATCATCTCAGACATCATCACATAGGAACTTATTCTGTGGTAACCAAATCTTTTATTATAGCAATTGCCGAAATTTTAAGTATCGTACCTATACAAATAAATAAAATTGAAATGTCTGTTTTTAATATCAAAATAACAGCTTTATACTTAATACATATAAAAGTAAATACTAATAACTATAAGTAATTTTTTAAATTTTTGTCTGTCCATCTGTCTGTGCGTCTGTTTGTTCCGGCTAATCTCAGAAATGGCTGGGCTGATTTTAACTTGACTTTCACTGGCAGATAGCCGATGTTACAGGGAGTAACTTGCGGTACATTTATTTTAGAAAAAATTATGGGTTCCTAGCATAAAAATTTAAACCCATGAAATTGTGAATCCGATTCAATGAGAGAAGTATATAGGGAAGTGTAATAATCTGTATATAAAATAATAAAGCACGAGTAAAACCGCGGGATGCAGCTAGTTTAATAATATAATTAAGTGATAGGCAGTATGGTACATACCTTTCGGGTTATTTTTATAAAATTACGATACGATTTTCCGATATCGAATAAGATGGATTAAATCATGAATCGATTCACGAGGTTACGATCCACTACGATCCAGAAGATCTATTCAAAACAAAAAATCGGGCATCCCTACTATATGCACCAGCCTGGTTTCTATGACAACGTAACGTATGTCAACAAAGATTGGAACTTTGATAAAGGTTTATTAATTCATTCCTTGTAATAAATAGTAATGAATGCAATTTTAACTATTAATAATGATAATACGATATAGATTAGAGAATATAATATAAAAAGTGAGATATAAATGATGTCAATTATTCGTGATTTCGTTTTAAATACGGCTGGTAAGTATTAAGTTTTACAGTTCAAGTTAAATAATTTATCCTTCTTTTTGACTGACATACTTTCTAAGTTTTAATATGAAGCTGAATTTTCTCTTCTATGTAAAAACTTACATATTTTTGGCTCTTAACAGATTTATAGCTTTTTTTTTTAAAAAGTAACAGTAAAAAACTAAACAGAAAATCATATTACTCCTGGTTATTACTAATTAAGTTTTGACACCAGTGTATTAAAATAGGCAGTTTACTATTTCTCCTTTATTTGTGGATAAATGAGAAATGGTAAAGGTACCATAGCAACCAGCAAACGAGACTAACTCTTCAAGTTGATAAGGCACCATTGCTCTTTAATATTTTTCCTTAATAAAAAAGATACTAGCATTACTTTTTACTACAGTAAAAGTTCTGTAATTTATAAGGGATACATTCCTAGGTGACAAAACAAAAAACCAATAATTAAAATAATCAATTAAATTTAAGTTTTTGACCATATTAATTTTTATCTTCAGGCTTAGGCAATGGTTTAAAGAATTTAATAATTTTTTCTTGCTTGGCAGTTTTTAAAAGATCCTTCAATTCAGACTTATATTCAGCAGTGGCATTAGCAATTTGCCTCTTAAAAATAAGATTTTGTTCCATAGACAGATCAATTTTCATAAAGAAATCACAAAGATCATTTGCCATTCTTAAACCTTCAGTAAGATTTTTCAAATTAAATGTCATATATCCAGTGCTCGTTGAAGCCGATGAACTGATGTACTGATTAGATCCGCAAATAATGAAATCTTTAGCCACGAATATAGGAATTGGGTCACATTTTTTTAATTCGTGAATAATGAAAATGCGAATGAAGGAAGAGCGAATAAGGAGCTTTTACTGTACTACCAATACTCCTTTTACCAATCCAACTAAGTTAAAAAGGTTTCTGCTAGGAGTGGTTCACAACAGCAGTAGAGTGGCGGGTTCAAACTCACAACTTGAGTTTCGCAGCCCTTAACTATTAAGCTACTGTCCCTTCATTATATATGTCGCATCATAGATATTTTTATGTTTTAATTAAATTATTTTCTTACATGGAATTCTCTAACATTGCCACTAAGTAGTGTGCACTAAGCATCACAATACTATGTGATTGCCACTTGAACAAGAATTATTAAGACAATATTTTGGGTTTATGTATTACACGGTAGGTTATTCGTCAATCACAACCGTGATTGTTGTAAAACTGACAGCTTGCATGAGCATGTAATGTACGCCTTAAAGCTCACACTTCACATTGAGTTACAAAAGAAAAACTGTCTAATACCTTTTTACTAATTAATATCAGTAGATCAATTTTGATTTTCCTTGAAGTAACGAATTACTAACAATTTTGCCGCCGTATTTTGTTTTTCTTATGTTTTTTTTATTTACATTATTAAATTTTGAAAATAGAATAAAAGAGGTTTCAATCTGTATATAAACTTTTTATAACCTAAAAAGATTTTAAACTTTAAAGTTGTAAATTATTTAGGATTAAGGTATCCCTAGATTCTGTTGATCTGTTTATATGCAAATATTAGTGGAAAATATTAGAAGGAAGAAGAAAGAAAAATTAGAAGAAGAAGAAGAATATCAAAAAAGCAAAGTGCTTACCTGATGGTGTTTGCTTACAGCAGCTCATGGACACCTGCTAACAATTTCAAACAAAGAATGCCATATAATGCATAGCCATTAACCCTTAAGACTAAGATGAAATTCCACACAGTTATTATTACACTTTCTTTCAGAACACTTTTATGACATACCTGATTTAAGATTAAATGATAAGTCTGAGAAAGCATTATTTGAATTTATAAATGATACACAAACATATCTGCTTCAAAGTTCTGTGAATGATAAAACTTTACATCTAAGCACAAAAGTAAGTATATAATGACATATTTAATTGCATTAATATTCAAATTTGTTACCTTTAATACAATATTTACCTTAAATATGTTTCAGATTCAGTGTAATGTGCAAAAATCAATTATATTTTATAAGACATCATCATTGGATCTATCAAAACAAGACAAAATTAATAATGTTAACATGATTACTTTGACTACAGGAGCTGCAGAATCCTTATACCACATTTTGAGACAAATATTTAGCCCTCTGTTGACATTGGTATGACAATAGCTTTGATATTTAAAACACATTGTCAACTACTTAGGTACCTAATGGATAATAAATACCTACTGAATGTTCAACAATTTTAACTATGTTATCTTACTCTGTATTTGGTGTAAGATTTTGGAACTTCTTGCGTTGTAGATTAAAAGTGCTCAATCCTTCCATTTGTTTAACAAACTGGTTATAACAGTATTTGTCTCTCTAACCCCTCTCTCTTCCTCCTTTTATTTATGGTCACTGATCTACCACCTAAAGTATGTTGTCTTTGTAGGGTATGAGTTAGTATCCTTACTTATCATAGTGCACCCTACCTGTTAACCTTTCTCATAATTTTGTTTGGGTTGTCTAGAATAAATTGCTATGTAGCAGTAAGAGAGCCTTTTGTTTTTCCCTCAATATGTGTTTATTTTTGTCTAAATGTGTAAAAGTTTAGTTATGTTAGTAGAAAACAAGCGAAATTTAAAAAAAATACCACGTCTTTTTATATTCTTTTATTGTCATCCGATTTTGAGCTATATTGGAAATTTCAAGTTTCCAGCTCATCGAGAAATTAGTTTTAAATCAATTACTAAATTCCACTCGGAACGGCAGACAGACAGACAAACAAGACAGTGACTTAATAAAAACGTGGTAAAAATCACTTCAAAAGTTGAATATATTAACTTATATTCCACACAAAATGAAGTCAATATTAGAAAATCATTTTTAGCATTTATCAATCATCACTTTAGTTTAGTTTGCAACGGAATATTATCTACAACTCCATGTCTAAGCGCGTATTTTGCATGTAGGCAGGAATATTGTAGTAATTCGAGCCATGAAATTTCCTCGATAAAGTGCAGTCCTTTGATGTTGTCGACGACCAGATGTTTACACCTCTGTTTGCGGCAACCTTGAATACACCGGTAGCACGTGGTCCGCCGTTTATTCCTCTCTAATCCATTCTCTGCAGAAGGCACTGTCTGTAATAACTATCGCGAATAAATGCTTGTTAAGAGAACCATGCCCATAATACTGCCGCCATAAGGAAAAAGGACGTTTCTACATAAAGTACGAAACAGAGAAAAAAAATAAAATGTATTTCAAAAACAAAAAAATGCGCTGTGCGAAAGGAAATAAACCAAATAATAATGTTGTGGTGTAAAAGTTTATATCAGTGTTTGATCTATCAGCAATTATATGTAAATTTTAATTAAATAAATTTTATGTATTAAATAAATAACTTTTTCTTTTTCTTTTTAGTAAAAAAAATGCAAGAAAATACTTGATACGGCAATGAAAAGACGCTTCTGGCTAGAAACGTCCTTTCAACTTAGTATTTTTTTAAACGTCTTTCTTACTTAGTGATAATGTGTTACCAGGTTCTAGTTAACTTAATAAAAAAGACGTTAATAGCCATTTGCTGCTTTTCAACTTAGTAATACTAATATTCAATTAACTAAAAAATAATAATACCCTGCACATTGTTAGATCACCAACAACCCTAAACCTTACTTAAACTGAAGTACGTTTTAACATGATAATTATCATGTATTAAATAAAACACAAAGTATGATAATCAGGCTTATATTTCTTTTTTATAGAATATAAAAAATAGCAATTACAAACCTCTCATAAAATAAAGTTAAACTCGCGTTAAACTCTTCTATTAGAAACACAAATTAAGTATCAAAACAATCTAAGTTTGTATTTATAATAATCATAGCTTTTTAAGGAATCTCTTATATTGAAGTCTTAATCTTATACTTGAGTGAGATTAAACTACCACTACGACTTATGTGTTTTTCATAAAATAAAAAACAATAATAGCAATAAGAAACCTCTCTGAACTTATAATAGCTACTCTAAGTTACTCTTCTAAAGACAAATATTAAAAAGCTATCTAAGTTTGAACAAATTATGCTTAATATTAGCAATAATCACAGCTTTATAACTCTTGTAAATTTAGTCTTCATCAACTTGAGTCAGATCAACACTATTTTTATCAGTAGGTAGATTATACCAAAACGATTTTCTGTTGTCTGGCATTAAGGGAGTCAGTTTTTGTATGATCGCTGTCTTGCGCTCTTGACTAATGCCTCTATACTGATTTTTTGGTTTTGGAGGTGGTATCCCAGATTTTATATTTTTTAATCTCAGAAAGTCAAGTGAGTATTCTTCTTCATTGTGGAAAGCAGTCTTATAATAAATGATGTGGGTGCCTCTACGGAATGTTACTTCACACATATCACATAAATAAGCACGAGGGGAAGAATTTTGTAGTTTGTAAGTTGAAGAACAGTCTTCAAACTCACAAAAATCATCCACATTCATTACTTTAACGATAATGTTTGTTCTGGTGTTCGATACTGCTTGATGAAAGTCTTCGAAATCATAGATGTGTTTCTTCCTCTTCATAGATTGCTCCACCTGGTGATGGAATTCGTCTGCTGCCATGTGCGTGTGGCCTACCTCTAAATATTTTAATGTAATCGTTTCATAATTGACTTCGACTGAATTAACAAGATGGAGCAAATAAGAATACAAACTCCAATTTTTATTCTGGGCTGCACAATTATCTAACCAGATGACTACATTTTTCAGGTCTCTATTAGCCTGCAAAAAAGCTCTGAAACAGCTTATTATGTCACTCATTTTGCGACCAGCAATTGCTTCATGCCATATCGCGGCATAGGTTTGCAAAGTAGCATTGTTTTTTTTGTCACCTATTGGCACAAAACTTTCATTGAATACGATTACTCTTGGGCAAAACATTACAATTTTAAATTCTTCAATGCGTGGGAGCATAATTACTTTCTCTAAATCAGCCGCAAAATAGGCAGTATCTGAGGTGATGTTTGCGTTATTTTGTTTTTCTACATCTTTTTTGTATGCTTCCCTGGCTGATGTATATTTTTCCCGGTGTCGTTCGTAATCTCGGCATTCTTGACAATTTCTGTGTCTTTTCTCCTTGTATTCCGGATTGTGGATAAAAAACTTTTCACACACCTCACACTCTTCATGTCCAAGTTTTGTAAAACATATATTTAACTTCTTCACAACTTTTCTGTAGTAGTCATAAGAAATCTGTTCGTGAACAGGAAGGTCTTTCATGTTTTGTTGTTCGTAAAAGTCTCGATACATTCTGGTCACTGTTAGGTCAGACGGAAGATATTTTCTATTTGGAGCGTGCTCTCGTCTGTAGTGGGAAATTGAAGGATTAAAAGAATTTATATGTTCTACAATTTTAGTGTCGTCCAACTTTTTTGGATTAGGATTGGTTCCTCGCTTATCAACTGGAATGTTGTTTGTTATGGTGCATAAGGCGTTTCTTACAGATTTATCATTTTTTCGACTGTAACCCAGTGTTTCTAGAAAAAATACTTTGCAAACATTCACTTTTACCCCTGTTTCATTTGTCAGAAAATATAATATGCTTACGTTTCTTGGCAGTTTTCTGTTTTCTTTAACGGTTTTTCTCTTAGGATCTTCTTTGGATGTGTTATTTATTATGAAATACTGTTGCTCTTTCCAAGACATGTTTCTAAAGTGATGGTTTAGGTTTTGTCGTGCTTCTTCTGTAAACTGTGTATGACATTTTTTTTTGCATCCATCATTACACCCTGGCTTAAGTTTATATTTAGATTCCATATCTTTCAGTTTTTTAATTTGTTTTCTCTGCGCCGGTGATTCATCATACTTCTTACGTTTTCTGATAGTCCCCTTTTTTGTGAAATTTTGTGGCGTATCTTCGTCGCTTGAGACTTCAGGTGACTCAGGAACAGTGACGTTAATTGACGGTGATTGGGGTATGGTATTTGTAGAAGAATCTGGATCTTCTGAACATTTTGACTGATCTAAACTTGAGGGTAAATAATTTTTATCAAAAAATGAATCATCGGAATCAAAATCCAGGATTCTGTCTGAGCTGTTATGAAGATCCGCATTATTCAAAGAGTTATTTTCGTTCGTAGTAGATAAAGGCAGCTCATAATAATTGGTGTTCAGGTTTGACTCCTGGGAAGAACTGGTTGATCGCACCATCGAAATTATTTTTGAGCATCGATAATGTCGCATTTTGTCACACTGAAACAAATAAATAAACAAAATACTTAGAAAAAATCACCGGCGCAGAAAAATAAACGAAAAAACTGAAAGATATTATCTGAATACAAATTTTCATATCCCATTATATACAAAAAACTCATTATGGTAATAATAAAACAAGGTATAAAATGTATAAATGCAAACCTCTTCATTGTGATAGTTGGTACTCAACGGTGTAAACAAATTCGAAAAAAAGCGTTTAGCTAGATAAAGGTGTCGTTTTCTAACAGATATATTTAATATTGAAATATTTTAACATAAAAATCGGTATATTTATTTGTATCACCTGTTATGTTTGCAGTTTTTTCAATCTTAAATTACTCATGGGTATGCTTAAGTATACATAAATTATAATTCCGGGAAGTTTGACTTACGATTTTTCCGTAGTTATAGCTCGAAGAGCCGCGCGCGCGTATCGTCACTCTGTCTGCCTGGACGCAACTGAAGCACAGTATACCAACCGCGAGCCCCACTTCACCCCGCACAACTAGCAATACTAAGTAGGAAAGGCACTACTGCCACTTGCGCCTGCCCATTTTTCGTAATACTACGCTAAAAAGGCACACCTACGCAGAACAGTCTTTTCTTCTTATGACCATGCAGAAGTGTCTTTTCATTTTATGATGAATTAAATATTTTGTAAATAAATAGGACGCTACTACTAAAATGCGTTTTTTCAACTTAGTGGACTTCAGAAACGTCTTTTCTATTTAGTAATATTTGATTCATATCGCAGATGCGTCTTATTTAACAGTAAGATTTATAGGGTTCCGCTTAATTTATGCAAAATATAAAAATACTGGTGGATGCCATTTTTTTTACTGATTTGGAACATTTATGTAACTCCATTTCGAAAAAAATGTTAGATACGTCTTTTTTCCTTATGGCGGCAGAATAGTGCTTCTTGCTATCCTGATCTGTTGTTTGTTTAGTTCATTAGAACTTGGTTAAAAGTTACAGTCTACACAATACGTCCCACTGCTGACACAGGCCTCCTTTCACTTCTGAGAGGGTTTTAGGACAACGAAACGTTTGCCGTGAAGCCCCAATGTGTGATGGTGGACTTCACATGTCTTGGATTTTTTTTTAATTTCCCTCACATGCCGGTTTCCTCACATTGTTTTCTTCACCGCCGAGTACGTGGTAAATCAGCACTTAAAAATGTAAAAATAAACAATTTTATTGGTGTCGGCGGGAACGAACCCGGGTTGCTTATGTACTTTGAAAATTAACACCGAGCGCTAAGCCCCTGAGCTACCACGACCTGAGAACCTTGGTTAAACCACTATTAAGTTCTTAGCTTGCCAGTTTTCTAGATTTTTCCAAAGCCGAGCGTGTTATTTTGTTTAATGTTTACATACCAGTTAACGAACATTCTAAAAAGGTTAGTGGCTTCTCCAGCTAGTTTGTCTGCAGCGTCGTTGCCCCTGGATCCACGTTGTCACTTGATCAACATTATATACATACGTACGTATATTAGCCTCGAGTTTATCACATTGCTACTCAGACCTTTCGGAGCCGCCATGGCGTCGGTCAGTATTCTAATGGAGACGTTCTTTACCTTCCTGGCATGTATTGACATCGCTATTATACATTTGAGTTATTTTGAGGTTTGAAAATGAAATACTGCGTTATGGATACTTAGTAGGGCCCATATCACACTCAAGCGAATACTTTAAAACTTTTTGGATTAGCGGTGATATTTTACCCATTTTTCTTAATTACATTAAATTAATTTAAATGTAACATGAAAGATCAATAAATAAATAAAAACTTACATCATTATCCCCAAACTTCTAAACCATTTTATTCAGAATTTGCAATATCCTTTGATTGGACATGGTGGATGTTTCTAGTGGAAAAAGGTAAAACAGAGCCTAAAATCTCATTTTAAAAATAAATTGCAAATTCAAACCTAGGCATCAAATTTCTCAGCACGTACCTAAGGTTCCTTTAACAATATAGCTACCGTGTCGCTATTCTTATCCAAATTACAGATAGTAAACTTTTTTTTAACTTTTTAATTATATATTATGAAAGTCGTTGAACAACTACACCGAATTGCAGATGCGTTGCCGACCTTTTAAATAGTGTAGTCACTTTTCTTGAAGGTCCCTTCCCTAAGTCGTATTGTTCCAGAAAATCGCTCGTAGCAGTACATGATAGGTTTGCCATGCCATGAATATTATATTTCTATATATATATATTTAGATAGTACTACTATATATATAGGTACCGCCGCCGCACCTTTTAATAACATAGTTCTCCTACATTCTAGTTCTCATAGACAGTTTTTAGTTATTTCGCCTTGTGACCAGGAGCATATATATATATATATATGTCTTTGGTACATGGTATTATGTCATACTCGCTCGCATCTCCACCAAAACATAGTTCGTGCAATATGATGTTCACTTTGAACTTCAACAAGTTGCGAGTTTTCTTTAGAGTATATACTTCGTCATTTTGATTGTTAGTGCCCTTCAATCGCAAAAATTATTTAAATTGTAAAGAGCACATTTTTATGTCTTCCACCAGCGTCACAGGACAGCAACCGTTTTAGTCGATCAATTATCTTAAGCTGCAGTTATTGTACTTATTTGGAGAAAGTCCCGCGTATCGGCGGTAAGCACCTAGCATCAGGTCTCGTTTAATAATATTAAATAATTTACCGCAGGACTATAGCGGGAATCTTCATTTCATGACGTCGAATCTTCAATTCATGACTTCATTTTGTAATTTCACTTAGTTAAGAAATAGGTATACATAGATAAAATCAGTTACTCGAACCTGATTTTATCAGCGGCACTGCGAATTGTTTGGACTTTCTGCTAACTACTTTTCCGGAAAGGTCAACTTCGTAAGAAACCTGACTACAGTTGCGCATTCAGTGTACTATAATACGGCCAATTAGCAGCCATACAAAGGGTCAATTACCTTAAAAACGACTGTGGATTTGATAATCTATTATATATATCTTTCGATTTTGAGTATTTGTCGTAGTCTCGTTTTCCCGACAAAAACATGTCAGGGTCAAGACGGGTTCGCAAACATTCGGGAGGCCATTTTAGTAATTGTTGTTTATTTAATTATTGTTATTTTATTTTGTTGATAATTGTTTTTCATTAAGAGTTGTTAATGATGGAGCCACAACCAAGTACGTCGAGGGATAAATCAACAGATTTTACTTCTCCGAAAAAAGAAACGTCCAAAGGTATGTATAGGAATAGGATATATATACATGTTGTTGAGTAGTTTTAATTAAAACTTCTTGGTTAGGAGTTTACTTTAAAGTTATATTAAAGTTATTTAAAAACAGCAGCTGTAATAATAAAACTTTTCTTAATTTATTAAAGATGCATGTAAGTAAAGTATGTATATCAATTAAATTTAATTTTTAATTTTAGGTGACGGTGTTTTACTGTGAATGAAAAAAATATGGTTATTAATACCTACAAATATGATAGGATGAAGATTGACTTTTAAATAAATATCATTGTAGACCCAACCTTCTATCAACTAGTGCCAATTGAGGTTCACATTGGTGCCGACATTTTTGGCACATTTTTGTCTGTGACCAATGTTATTAGTTGTGTCTCGCCAGCAATGCAAAGTTAGGAATTTGCATTTAGAAAAAGTTTTTTACGTGGTAGAGCCATGCCGCAGTTATATTAGTAGTATAGTTGTAGCACGAATGGGTCGGCTCGACCGGGGACCACGCTCTCACAGAATACCAGCGTCAAATAGTAGCTTAATGCTGCTGTGTTTCGTATGGTGCGTGTAGAGAATCTGAGACCCTTTTTAGGGTTCCGTAGTCAACTAGGAACCCTTATAGTTTCGCCATGTCTGTCTGTCCGTCTGTCCGTCCTCGCTTAATCTCTGTGACCGTTAGCACTAGAAAGCTGAAATTTGGTACCGATATGTGTATCAATCACGCCGACAAAGTGGTAAAATAAAAATTGGAAAAAAATGTTTTATTAGGGTAGCCCCCCCTATATGTAAAGTGGGAAGTGATTTCTTTTTTTAATTTCAACCCTTACGTGTGATATATTGTTGGAAAGGTATTTAAAAATGAATAGGGGTTTACTAAAATCATTTTTTGATAATGTCAATAATTTCAGAAATAATCGCTCCAAAAGTAAAAAACAATGTGTCCCCCCCCCTCTAACTTTTGAACCAAAGGTTTAGAAAATATGAAAAAAATCTGAAATGTAGAACTTTATAAGTACTTTCTAGGAAAATTATTTTGAACCTGGATGGAAACGGTTTTTGTACAAAAAAGACAAAAAGTTGTACAAAATAATTTCTGGACTAAGTTTGTAGTATAATCGTTTAAGCAGGCATTTTTTTTAACTTCGTTTACATATTTTATTATCCTGAACGTATCTTTATTCAAACAAAAAAAGAATTATTAAAAAATTATCCAAAATTACCACCGAAAACTTCTGGCACGTCTATGTATTAATTAGTAACCCAATTCCCCGAGAGATGGCGCTGTAGGTACTTATTACATTGGGTCGGGTATTATCGAATTGTTCGGTTGGTCTCTCCTTGGCATCGCCTGTCGCGGAGCGTGCAATGTTGCACGCTCCATGTTCGCGCACGTACCCACTACCGGGAGCAGTTGCAGGAGCGCGGAGCGCTGCTGGAGCGCGAACATAATGGATACCCACCTTTAAACTCATAAGTGGGTACACTTATTGTGACAGACGGGAAACTACGGAACCCTACACTGAGCGTGGCCCGACACGCTCTTGGCCGGTTTTTTATTTTAGATGATGATGGGACTTCGGGTTATTTTATCATAAGTCGGGAACTCACGGCACCGCCTTCACCCGCTCTAGAGTACTGCGACCCGAACAATTTGCGTTCTTACGCCAGACTATAACAAATTTATCAACACTTGGCACCTTGGATGACAACGCCAAAAATGGAAAACCAATGTTTCGACAGTTAATTTCGGAGATTTGGTTATTTTACAAGTGGATGACGTCCCACCTCTATGCAGGAGACTTGGTTGTATATCAAGGCTCTTTTTGGACCGGATGGCGTATCACGCGCCGATGTCAACACTACGTATACGGTATACGTACGGAGTCCTTTATTTCGCATTTGCCCATGGTCCCATAAAGAGAAATTAAAGGGCTAAAAGCCTACATCTTTAAAGGGAGGGGAGAATGTTACCGCTTACAAATGCAAATTCATTTTTATACTTTGCTGTTAAACATACTGGCCGAGCAGAAACAGTAAGATAAAGAAAATACTTTTAAAAAAACGACTGGTGCTATCGGTTGCGTGCACATTCACATGATATTTTTTTTAAATTCGTATCGTTTTAAATTCAAAAATCCATACTAAAGTATAAAATTTTGTAACAAAACAAAACTATTAGGTATTTTATTGCATGTAAATTTTTGATATTATATCATCATCCCCCATCGAGTTGAAGTTTAATTGAAGTAGTTTTTAAAAACTACTTATATGTCGAACTAGCCATAATTTTAGAAATGAACTGTATCCATTATCACCGCCATTGTGAATTTTATTGTAATAACTCGTAGTATTTGATATTCCAATGCTAATAAATCCTAAATGAGGAAACTAAATATGTACATAACTAAATGTCATATCCAAAAGTTCTGAAGTCACGACCAGTTATTATTTTTAAAATGATTAATTAACGTCTTCCTGCATTTAAAATTAAGTTATATTTATCAGCACAATATAATGTACCTATTTATTATTTTCTCTTCCTATTATTTAGCTCATTTAGAATGACAGACTTTTTCATAATCGCAGTCGCTTTATTTTTTTGTTCGAACCATGTGCAATTTATGCATGTATAAAAAAGTATCACAATATTAACCAAGTGTTTTACTCAGATTGAAATTCAGCTTAAATTTGATAAAGAAGTATATACCTAGTATTAAATTACCTTGTAAAGTTTTATTAAGTATTCCCAACCAAACCAATTTCGATCTTCTTTCTGACGAAACTTAAATAGACATTAAAACTTAAACTCTTAAAGTAAAAACCGACTTCAAAGAACCAAAAATAATTTAATAAAAAACACGAACTAATTGCTTTAGAAGTCTTCTAGTTTATAAAATAAATAAAGCCCTGACTTGTGTAGATTTTTTTTGTATTTCAAAATATGATGTCGGTTTTACTTTTAATTCAAATTTTCATTTTAACACTTGAGATGATTATGAAATAACGAAAACTCAAGTTAGCAATTTGAAGGTCGTCTAAACAATTACATTAAAAACTTTATCCCCTAGTTTCGATCCTTAGGGGTGAAATTTTTCTTTAAATTTATATGGGAGCACTCCTAAGTAACCTTTTAAATAAAAGAGAATTATCACAATCAGTTCATCGAACAAAACAATAAAATGAAAAAATAACTTATGAATGAATGAATGAATATACTTTAATGTACACCACTAATAAAACAAATAACATAAAAAGCAGATTACATGTACAAAACCAAAGGTGTAAAGGAATAAAACAATGAAAACTAGGTATAGGTGGTGCAATATAATATATACCTATACAAGTTTATATAATATATATACCTATATAAATTACAAAAATTCCTCAAACAATAACATAAAGCAGATAAATACAAAAAATACATAACCACATAGTTTATCCTAACGGTGTTCGAACGATTGAGACAAGTAATGCTCTTTAAGTAGTCGCAATGCATATGCAAAAGTAAAAGATTTATTATAAAAAAGATTTATTGTGAGTTGTTATCCTTAAAATTAATTTTCTCGAAGAGCGTAGAGGTTCCCTTGGAAGCCCTACAAAATTAAACTTCTCCTTTAGATAGGGAGGAGTAGAAGCGTGAAGGGTAAACCATTCGAACTTACCTATGCTCCTACCTACCTATCTATACTCGATTAATGAGTAAAGGTTACTTATTGGGATGTTCTGTCAGTCAAATTCTCAGTAGCTCGGAACCTGGTAGTTGGCGGTGTTTCACGCCCCCCCCCCCCCCTGCGCTCTAGGGATAGCACGTAAAGCCATTGGTCCTCTCTAGTTGGAACTCTCCCATCGTGTCTAAAGTGCAACGTTTTTGATTTCAGGGTGATGATTTGTATACAAACAAGTTACAAAAGAATCTTTTAGATCTGGAAACGAATCTGAGAGTACTGACACATGGTAAAAATAATGGGAATATAAATGGTAATGAAATAAAATAAAATAACTGTGCTTTATTACTGATCTTTTCCAGACTAAAAATAACTTTTTTTGCAGTAATTTTAACGATTGAAGATGAAATCAGTTATTGGAAATCAATGGCAGAAAAAAGAGATGCATCCAAAAAAGAGAGAGAGGCTGCGTCTAATTTTTGTGTTCTGTTTGAAGATGTCTTTGAGGAAACCAGGTACGTAATTCATAGCGTACTCTTTCTATATCACCCAAAAGTTCATAGTTATTTGAACAGTCTCGAAATTATAAAATTGTCTTGCGTCGTTTTTATTTTCATATTTATAGAAAACGAGTTTTATACTTATTCGTTCATACCCCTAGGACAGTGGTTAAACTAATTGACGTGTATTTTCGAAATATAATAAACAATTGGTCCAAGCTTCAGTGATTTTAACATTAGTCGATATACCAAATAATCTTGAATACCTTGAAAGATTCACGTCAAAGAGAGAAATTACTAGTCATTTATTCGTCGCCGTCGTAATTTTTTTATGTTGTGTGTTTTTGTGAGAACTTATTAGAAAAAAAAGTCAAAAGTGTGTTCATCACTTGTAATAATGTCGTAAACACACTCCCTGCCTTCACTCTGATAATCATATTACGGCACCACTTTGGAGCATCGGTGAGATTACGCGGCATCCGACGCAAAACTATCCTCCTCAACTCCTCATGCGAAGGTGTTCGTGTGAAATTTCGTGAATGTTCCCCATCTAATCTGCAATATATGCTGAATCTCTTTATACATAATTCACATATAATTTTCATTTTAAAATTTTCACTGCTAGCTATAGACATATTAAATTGATCTTTCTAATAGGTCTTTTTACATATGAAATTGTGCAGTAGCAGTGTGGCCATTTCAAACTAAAATAATTTTTGTTTGGCTAAGAATTCTAATTTCAAATTAATTTTATCTTAAAAACTTGGAATTCCTTTTTCAAAATTAGTATTTGTTTAATGCCTGCGTTTGGCAGAAAAAAGCGCTAGCAAGCGCTTGTAAGCAAAATAGCGATTTTAAGCGGTAAGCGCTGTCAAATCGTAAGTAGCTATTTTCCTCTAGGACACGAAGTTAGTTTTAACCGGGGAACCTAACTTAATTTAAATGTATGTTTGTAAAGTATTCATATTAAAAACTTACATGTATATGTTTATTCATGTCATTATATTACTTAAAACTAATATTGCACAAAACAACTTATAAACTCTACTTCAAAACAAACAAATTAAATAAGCAAAATGGCGGATTGTGTCAGCGCTACTGAAGTTAGCAAACGTGTCCTGGCCGAAAACTGTTTAGTTTCGCCATTTTGCTTACAAGCGCTTCCTAGCGCTTTTTTCTGCAAACGCGCCCAGATTAGCGTTTTGTTTTCATCGTATTTGAATATTTTTCGTCATCATAGATATGTTAAAAATTCGAATACCATCGTGGCAGCAACGCCGCACTAGCGGCACGTAACACCAACGACGTTTACGGAGCGAATATTACAAGCGAACGCACCATGACCATGTGGTCGTCCGAAAAATTTGGTCGAAAATGACGAATTAAAGGCGATTGTGGAAGCTGATGATACTTAACCTACGGCTGAATTAGCAGCAGTTTTCAACGTTAGCATCAAAACAATATTGGTCCATTTGCGTCAAATTGGCAAGGCTAAAAAAGCTTGACCAATTGGTGCCCCTCGAACTCATTAATCGCCGCCGTGAGGTACTCGTTGAGAAGTGCCTTGTACTGCTCAACAGGCGCACAAACACGAATGGAGTCAGTTTGACAATCGCAAGCGCTCAGCAAGTTGGTTGGATACTGGTTCAGCACCTAAACAGTGCTCTAAACGAAAACTTGCCCCTAGAAAAGTGATGGACACTGTCCAGTAGTCTAGCGCCGGTGTGATTCATCACAGATTTTTACCAAAAGAGATTTTGTGAAGAACTGAACACAATGAGGGAGAACCTCGCACATCTCCAATTAGCTTTGGTCAATAGCTCGTTCCCGCTGCTCCTGAACGACAACGTGCGACCTCATACTGCATAAAAAACGGTCTCCAAGTTACAAGAACTGAGGTTGGAAACTCTCCGTCATCCGCCGTACTCACCAGACCTTGCGCCTACGGCCTTCTACTTTTTCCAGAATTTAGGTAACTATTTGGCGGGTAAAAAATTCAATACCCGAAATGCAGTACAAAATTCCTTTGAAGAATTTGCTGCCTTCCATCCAGCTGATTTCTTCAAAAAGGGCATCAATGAACTGCCACTGCTTTGGCAAAGATTTATCGATTGCATGGGAGATTATTTTGATTTATAAAAATTAAAATTATAGACAAAAAATTACTTTAACTTATTTCATAAAAAAGGTGATGTCGTAGGTAATGACCTAATATTAGAGTCGTCAAAGGGATTTATATTATATTGAGATTTTATTATACCAGCGGTATACGGTTCAATAAAAAAGGCTTTTATGCATAAATGCCATTTGAAGTTTATCAAATGCTTCTTCCGTCAATAGTTCTTTTAGTTATAAACCTTTTATATATATATATATATATATATTAAAAAAGTGTAATAGTAATAATAATGCCCTCCAAACCGAATTTCGGTCACGGCGGATCGGCATAGGACATGATTATAGTGCCCAAGTGTATGCGCAAGCACAGGTGCACTCTCTATTCCCTCACTCTGTAAACCGACACGATCGGAGAGAGATCAGGCGCAAGACTAACGGCTTTACGTGCTTTCCGAGGCACGGGGTTGAGACACAGCCTACTTCCTGACTCCGGGCAGCTACTGAGAATTTCTTGATGGAAAAACTCAATAATTGATTTTTTGGACCGACCCGGGATTCGAACCCAGGACCTCATTATCAGCAGTCGCACTACTACAACCACTAGACCAACGAGGCAGTCATAATGTCATAGTACAGCCTATATATGTCCCACAGCTGGTCACAGGCTTCTCATTTCCGAGTAGGTTATGATGTAATTAACAATTATTATTAAAATTAACTGTTTGTCCACTACACTGCTCCATTGTACATGTATATTACTTATATTTTATATATTGATTAAAATAGTAAGTAGATGCGCAGACGATACACGTTTGCGCGTATGATATAGTGGGCACTTCATTGAAGTATAATGTACAAAGCTTAGTACATATTACTTAGCACAGCTAGTTTTTAATAAAGGGTTTGTTTTCATTTACGACGACAAAAATCCATGAAAGAAATATATTACTATAAAAATATATAAAATAACATACTGAACGATTTAAAATTGTTTTATTTCATAAGATGATGAACGAATACTTTTAGTAAATATTGGTACAGTAGGTATATAATAAAAGGAATCATAAATGAGAACAAAACGTTTCTTGAATCTAGGAATCTGGCATTTATCCGTTCTCATATATGCACATAACGCAAAACATGGAAACAATCGTCATACAGTAAAATACTGTTACGCGCTCAACGTCATACACTAGCGCCATCTAGTGTCAGGAACGAGAGCGAGGGGAGCTTTGCAGAAAATGACATCACAAATCTTTACCGACAGCGCCATCCGAAGAACTAAGTTTCTAGAAAATCTACACTCGAACACTCGTCGCTTTGCGCGCATTTACTTGAATATTCCGGATGCTTCTTTGCTAATTTGTATATATAGGCGCTGCAAGATGCGATCGGGGCAGTGTTGATTTGGCGAGACAAGCGAAGCTTCGGAGCGAAATAAAGTGAATTAGTGTGTTTAATTATTAGTGTTTTAAGTTTTAATTTGTGTAAAGTAAATTAAAGTGTTAATTTAGGTAATTATATCGGCAATTTTTATTGTCACGAACCTCAAGCTCGTAACAATACAAATAAAAACACTACATATTAAACGTTAATTACTTCTCAAAATTTTTGGGTCTGTGCTCTGAGAATGTAAATCGCGATTCTAGTGGTTAAGTAATCTGGTCAGTTCTGGCCACGCGAATTGAACCATTCGTTAAGCTAACGGTTTTGAATTTTACATATTGTATTAATTTTTAAGGTCAATGCAAGCAAGCCCTGTTCACGACTTTAGAGATAATGCAGAGAACATCGGTGGTTTGCTGGATGATATTTGGCGGTATACTGTGTTGCCATACTCTCAAGATAGAATGGTACACGTTTTCGATATAATAGGTACGCGAACTGGTTACATCTAATTTTAATCTTTTATTTAATTTATTAACATTTTGGAGAATCAAATCTCATAAAAATTGATGATGGGACTAACAACGTGTAAAATAATTAAGTCTGGATATAATCTTTTTATTAATAATCTTATGTCATTTCTCATGAACCATTCTCGTGGCGGTAGTTCTAGAGTATCTTGTTGTCATAAGTCGATTAATTAATAGTATCGTACTATATTTCAGTCAATTTTACTATATATTATAGACAAATAATATAGTATTAAAAATACTATATTTTTATCCCTAATTCATCTGTCGCGCTTTTTTGTATTAACTGTGATTGGAAGTCTGCAACAAGTATGTTTTACGGAAAGAATTTTTGCCATCATGAATCCATACTAATATTATAAATGCGAAAGTGTGTTTGTTTGTTTTTTTGTCCTTCTTTCACGTCGCAACAGAGCGTCGGCATGGCATGATTTTTTGTATGGGGATAGTTCGGTGACTGTAGAGTGACATAGGCTACTTTTTTCCGCGGAGAAACATCTCATTGCCGTGGGAAAATGGAATATGTTGCACAAGTTTGTCCTTCTTTCACGTCGCAATAGAGCGTCGGCATGGCATGATTTTTTGTATGGGGATAGTTCGGTGGCTGTAGAGTGACATAGGCTACTTTTTTCAGCGGAAAAACATATCATTCCCGTGGGAAAATCGAATATGTTGCAAAATTAAATTCAGCTAGGTGGCGCCACCGTGATTCTACAAGACGGACGACGGTACGATGGACGAACACAGCAGGTCAGAATATCTGGATTATTATGTCTTTTTACCAAAATTAAGACAAAAAATTAATGTATTTTTCCACGCAGGACCGGGAAGAGAGCGATAAAAAACATAAAATTCACCAGCTGATTTTCTTCAAACGTTTTGGTGCATTGTAATTCACAGAATAGGCGATAACCCCGCAGACGATATAAGTAATCCGTTGATGCTCTGCCTACCCCGCAAGGGTTACAGGCGTGATTATAAGTATGGATCAGAAATATTATCACCTCCTGTCAAGCTTTCACCCTTAACTATTACTTAACTGTGGTAGGAACAGTTCTTAGTAAGCCTTATTAATAAGCCTTAGTAATATTTATTGAACGGAAATGAATACAGTTCTTATATGTGGTTATGAATGAATCGGTATTACAATAAGAAAAATTGTGCAAAATTATAAGAAAAATATTTTTTGAGAGTTCTTATTAACTAATGTATACATAGTTTAAATTGATTCCGCTAGGTGTCGTTACTAGGTTTTTAAAACGCGGTAACGAAATGTTTCCTGACATGTACTTAACTCCCGCCGTTGAGCCGCGCGTCAACTTATAGTGCTTACGGTACCTATACGCTTAAATTGTTTCTATTACGTAGCTTATTCGACTACCTGCTTTCGATTTCGGTTGTTTGCTATTTGCTTTGTGATTTGGTTAAGGTTGAATGGTTTTATATTGGCTTTCATTTTCGGATTTGTGTATTTTCTTGGATCGGTTTTGTTGATTTGGTTGGCATTCCTTTATACATATTTAGACTCTGGCTTTGATTTTGGATTTTGTTTATTTAGAATCGTGAATTGGTTTTTGTTGTTTTAGGTTGTTTAACAATATTTCAAAGGAATATTAATAGTATAGATAGTGTATACGGTACCTATACACTTACTTCTTTTTTCGTTGGTTATATTTATATTGACTTCTGATTTCGATTTCGGTTGTCTGCGATTTGTTTTGTGATTTGGTTTAAGTTGATTCGATTTTTTTTGGGCTATCTTTTTTCGGATTCGTGTTGTGTCTTGAATTGGTTTTGTTGATTTGATTTTAAAAAATATTTAAAAGGAATATTTATTCCTTTTAGATATTTTGGACTTGCTTTTAAAAAAATATTTAAATAGAAATTTAATTCCTTTTAGGTATTTTAACGTTTTTTTTATAAATAGGATTTTTGTTACTTCATAATGCCTCGCAACCTTTCAAGAGTATATTCTCAAAGACAAGCGAAAAGATTAGCTCGATCGCTAGAATCTTTAGATGATGCTGAACTAAGGCGGCAAGAACAAGCAGAGCGTCAGGCTGCTTTTAGAGCATCTGAGACACCTTCTCAACGTCAGCAAAGGCGTCTTAAACAGACAGAGCGTCAGGCTGCTTTAAGAGCTTCCGAAACACCTTCTCAAAGTCAGGAAAGGCGTCTTGAACAGGCAGAGCGTCAAGCTACTTTAAGAGCTACTGAAATACATGCACAAAGTCAGTAAAGGCGTCTTGAACAGGCAGAGCGTCAAGCTACCTTAAGAGCTACTAAAACACCTGCTCAAAGTCAGCAAAGGCTATTCGAACAAGCGGAACGTCAGGCCGCCTTAAGAGCCGCGGAAACACCTGATGAAACTCAACACAGACTCATTGAGCAAGCTGAACGTCAATCTACTATAGGGGCATCTGAAACACCAGAACAGACACAGGCGCGAAGAGATTCAAATGCACAGCTCCAAGCTGAACGTCGACAAAATTTTCAAAGAAACAATTGGTCGGTTTTTAATGACGCAGCATTCAATTATGATCCGTTGATTGATTATAAAAATCACTGGTTAGTTGTTATCGGACTGATGGACAAGGCGTGTCGATTTTGCAGCGCTTTAAAATGGAAAGATGAGACCGCAGAAATGTGCTGTTCCAATGGCAAAGTGTCTCTTCCGTTACTTGGGGAACCAGAAGAACCGTTGAAAACTCTCTTTTTATATGATGCTAATGAGTCACGGCGCTTTTTAAACAGGATCCGGAAATATAACTCATGCTTTCAAATGACGTCCTTCGGAGTTGACCGGGAAATAATAACGCCGGGATTTTCGCCTACATTTACGGTGCAAGGGCAAATTTATCATAGAATAGGTTCACTTTTTCCAGCTGAAAACGAACAGCATAAATTTTTACAAGTATATTTTATGGGTGACGAAGAAATTGAGGTAGACCGTCGCTGCCAATTTATCCAGGGAGTTGAGAGAGACACAGTGTTCAAAGAATCTTGCAAAAAAAGATTCTTGCATGAATGTAACATTTTAGTCAAAACATTTAAAACTGCTTTAGAAAACCTACCTGAAGAGGATTATAAAGTCGTCATTCACGCAGATCGGACCCCTCGAGGAGAGCATGAAAGGCGCTACAATGCACCTTTGATAAACGAAATAGCAGCCGTAATTAGTGGTGATCAATTTTCTTCACGAGACATTGTCTTGCGAGCACGTGATGATACGTTGCAACGGGTAGCCGATACACACAAGTTTTATGACGCTCTGCAATACCCATTGATTTATTGCAAAGGACAAGAGGGTCATCATTTTCAAATTCCACTCATTAACCCGGTCACAAATGAGCCTACTCCGAACAAAAAAGTATCATGTATGCATTTTTATGCGTATCATATGATGTTGCGAGAAAATGATTTTAACCTCTTAGCCCGGTGTAGACAATTATTTCATCAATTTTTGGTAGACATGTATGTGAAGGTAGAAAGTGAACGTCTCCGTTATATATCTTTAAATCAAAAAAAGCTGCGCGTTGAGAATTATATACATTTACAAGATGCAGTTTCTAGCGACGCCAATGTAAACCCCAGAGATTTAGGTAAAATGGTAATTCTGCCCTCATCATTCGTTAACAGTCCCCGCTACCTACATGAGTACACACAAGACGCATTCGCCTATGTACGAACTTACGGAAGACCTGATCTTTTTGTTACTTTTACTTGCAATCCCACATGGAAAGAAATAACCGAGGAGCTAATGCCGGGCCAAAAAAGTACTGACAGACACGATTTGGTTGCTAGAGTATTTAGATTAAAAGTACAAAAATTAATGTATGTAATTAACAAAGGGAAAATTTTCGGAGAGGTGCAGTGCTTCATGTATTCAATTGAATGGCAAAAAAGAGGATTACCGCATGCCCACATTCTAATATGGCTTAAAGAGAAGTTGCGGCCCAGCCAAATAGACGACATAATAAGCGCCGAGATTCCGGATCCTGAGCAAGATAAAGAATTGTATGATACCATCGTCCGAAATATGATTCACGGTCCATGTGGAGCACGAAATTCAATATCGCCATGTATGAAAGAAGGAAAATGTACAAAGAAATTCCCTAAACAGCTATTAAAAGAAACAGTGCACAATGACAATGGCTACCCTTTATACAGACGCAGAGCTCCCGAAGATGGTGGCAGGAAAGTTACAATCAAATCTCGCTCTGGAGCGTTCGAAACCTTAGATAACAGCTGGATTGTCCCGTATTCGCCCATTCTGTGTAAAATGTTTAATGCCCACATTAATGTAGAAGCATGTAGCTCTGTCCGCGCAATCAAGTATATCTGTAAGTACATAAATAAAGGAAGCGACCAAGCAATATTTAATCTCAGGAGTGAAGGTGAGGCAAATCCCGTTAATGAAGTACAGACCTTTCAAGCAGGGCGTTATGTCAGCAGTAACGAGGCAGCGTGGCGTCTCCTTGGCTTCCCTTTACACGAAAGGCACCCAACAGTTACTCACCTTGCTGTGCACTTAGAAAATGGAGAGCGTGTATATTTTTCCCGAAAGAAATTTCCAAGAAAGAATTGCATCACCGCCAAAAACTACACTAACAGCCTTCTTTCAACTTTGTCAAACCGACCCCTTCGCAAAAACGTTGTTATATTCTGAAGTCCCCCGCTATTATACTTGGAACACATCTAGGAAGGAGTGGAAACGCCGTATTCAAGGCGCGCCTGTTGCAAATTGGCCCGGTGTAAAGTCATCAGATGCCCTTGGTCGTGTGTATACCGTCCATGTAACTAATTTTGAATGTTTCTGTTTACGATTGCTGCTGCACCATGTTCGGGGTCCTACAGGATATAAAGACCTTAAAACTGTCAACGGTCAGGAATGCGCAACTTATAGAGAAGCATTTGAAGCTCTGCATCTTTTAGAAAACGATAATCACTGGGGTGAAACCATGGAGGAAGCTGTGCAGTGCCAGTCACCAGCCAAAATTAGGGATCTTTATGCACCTCATATCATCTTGCAGGCTATCTAATGCACATGAATTGTGGGACAAATATAAAGAGTACATGGCGGAAGATATTTTGCGAAGATTACAGCAGACACACGCGAACATGACAGGGGGGGGTGGGGGTGTGGCCGTAGCTTCCCCCCGGTATAGCCGCCACGCTGCTAAGCGGGGGCCGCACTGCACATTCTGTTTTAAAACTCCCTCTAAATCTAGCCCAGGAAGAATCGCCGATCTGCAACTTTAGCAAAAATAGTGCACGAGGTATAATGCTACGACATTGCAAACTTTTAGTGTGGGACGAAAGTACAATGTTGCATAAAAAAGCTGTAGAAGCACTAAATCGAACGCTCCAGGATTTGCGCAGTAATACCGATGTAATGGAAGGAATGGTGGTTTTACTGGCTGGTGACTTTCGCCAAACTTTACCTGTCATTCAAAAGGGCACACCTGCAGATGAAATTAAAGCATGCCTCAAGTCGTCTATTTAATGGAACAAGGTGACAAAATTCAGTTTAACTACGAATATGAGAGTGCATTTGTATAATGATATCTGTGAGGGAAAGCCTCACATCGACGGTGAGCTGAAGCGCGGGTTGAAAGAAATTGGAGAGGAAATGTAAGGGTGTGCACTTACTTTGAATGCAGATGGGCGGATGATAAATGAATGGTGCTGGGTGGTTGGCACGCTCCTGAGCTGGTTATGCCGTTAAATGTATACACGTGCAACTAAAGTCTTATATCATACACTGTCACTTTCACTTTAATGTTTAATTGTTCGTAATGATTATCACTTAGATATATTAGATACCGGCCGGCAATATATACGTAATTAATGCGAGCTGATGAGCTGAAGGTCGCGGACGCGCTTTCTTACACCTCTCCGTGACTCCCTTCCGGGGTTGCGACTGACGCAATACTCCCGCGATACTGCGCTCGCGCCGAATCAGTGAATGAGAGAGAGAAAGCGAATCAGGGAATCAATCGTCGCGCGCGAGTGGCGCGAACAATATCAATGCTGGAAACTATGCTGACACACTATTAAAAATTGGCGATGGGCGGTTGGAAACGAATGCTGAGGGCTGCGTTAAATTGACGAGAGATTTTTGTAATTTAGTACAGAGTCATTCCGAATTAATTGCGAGCGTTTATTCAGATTTAACGAACAACATGCATGAAGACAAATGGTTATGTGAAAGGGCGATTCTTGCACCAAAAAATGAGAGCGTTTGTATTAAGCGAAGTAGCAGGAGAAATAACAGAGTATTTGTCAGTAGATACAGTTACGGACACAGAACAGAGCACTTCATATCCCATAAAGTTTCTAAATTCTCTAAGGTTGTCAGGTGTGCCCTCCCATAAGCTTCAATTAAAATAAGGCGTCCCAGTCTTGCTAATGCGAAATTTAGATGCTCCTCGGTTATGTAACGGGACAAGGCTGCGTGTGACACATCTTGGACGGAACATAATCGGTGCTACAATTTTGACAGGCGTAGGAAAAGGTAAAAATGTTATTATACCACGGATCCCTATAATTCCCACAGATCTTCCTTTTCAATTGAAAAGGTTGCAGTTCCCTATAAAGCTCAGTTTTGCAATGATAATCAACAAAGCGCAAGGGCAAACGTTACAGGTAGCGGGGGTCAACTTAGAAAAACCGTGCTTCTCTCATGGTCAGCTGTATGTAGCATGTTCGCGTGTGTCAAATGCCCAGAATCTCCACATTCTTTCCCCGAATGGAAAAAGTTCAGTTAGTTTTTTTTTTTCCAAAATTCCCACAATCAATTAATCAGAATTCCCACAGATCTTCCCTTTCAATTCAAAATTTCCTATTTAGCTCAGTTTCTTTTCAATTCCAAATGGTGCACCTCTGACGGAATTATGAAGCTCAGTTTCCTTTCAACTCAAAAGGCTGCATCTCTGACGGATCTTTTATTTGGCTCAGTTTCCTTTCAATTCAGAAAACTGCATCTCTGACGAATCAATTTAGCTCAGTTTCTTTTCAAAAGTCTGCGTTCCTGACGGATAATTATGCTAAGTTTCCTTTAATTAAAAAAATATCCCATTTCCATTTGGAATAAACAGGCTATTTTCATGCTTTCCTATACGCTGCGTTTCAAAACATTTAAATAGGCGAACAAACGAATCAATTTTGCTCAGTTTCCTTTTAATGGCTGCATCTCTGACAAATCTATAAAACTCAGTTTTCTTTCAATTCAAAAAGCAATGGATAGTTCATTTCACATTGACCATGCGGGCGAAGCCGCGGGTAACAGCTAGTGTGAAATTGAAAGAAGAAAGAGAAAGAGCATGTTTTAATTTAATTAAAAATGAATCGTTAATTTATTTTAATATGATTCTAAATTGCCCAGACTCCTATAATTATTTTAAAAGTAAGGTAGACGGTAAGGTGGTTAGATCATTGATGTCCATAGCAAAGAGCTATAACAAATATATATATGTAAAAATACATGAAGATTAAAAATAAATGTGTACTTTTCTACTGAAATTCTCAAAAGTACTATATTTTTGCATCTTTTTTGGGAAAAATACTATATTTGTTCATAAAAAGATGGCGACCCTATAAACACCTATTATTTTACTGGTGGTAGGACTCCTTTTCTGCCTGGGAGTCGTAGGTATCACTCCATTACTCTATTTCTGCCGCGAAATAGCAGTGCTTGCTCTGCTGTGTTCCGGTCTGAAGTTCGTAAAGTGCCAATAGAGTTACAGGCTGTGAGGCATTCCATATTAGTCCTCAGAGGTGACGTTAGGGTTGCCACCCGAACTGTAATATATAGTGGCGTATTAAATTTTAGTCACTTGTATTATATATTATGGAAAAATTATATAGTACGAAAATGCTATATTTGTTCGAATGAATTGTGTTATTTTTTTTTCTTATACGTTATTCTGTTGCATGATTTCAGGGCACGTAATTTGCTCCATAACTCAGAAAGCACTGTGTAACACGGATCTATGGAAGGTCTATAACGGCATTAAAGATAACGAAATTTTGACTTTAACTAATGACAGCCTTAATGCAATGCAAACTTGGATCAGCGCCTGCGTGTCCCTCACCGAGAACTATTGGCCGAATTATGCTCTGCATCCCTGGAGCGGTAAAGGATACGTGCCGCAGTTTTGTCTTAATTTTCAGAAACGGCTTAAAGAGGTAATATGAAGTAAATAATAATTATTGTGAATCTTCCCATATTTAATTGTTTGCCTTGTGGTGGTGGCCTGAGAGAGTCTATCACGTCATTTTGTTCCATAGACATTGCAAGAGGTAATTGTAGTTTAGTCCGAAAGGACTTAGTAACCTCAAAAGATCGCGGTATAATATACCAGATTGGCGACGAGGAGCAGCGTCGATGGTGAAAGAAGTCTGGTACTGGCAGTACTGCCGGTACCAGACTAGACCACTAATCCGCCTGCCAAGCGTGGCGAATAATTCTTTCCATGGAGGAGCCCATATTTAGCGGACCTTTTAGGGCCGGTGAAGAAGTAGAAGGAATTGGCTCATGCCTCTCGTAACGACGACAATCGAGCACACTGGCCATCTGATAGTAAATGGATGCTATGATGACTCTTACACCTATCACTTAAGAATTATAATGCAGATGTGCTGTCACTCCTGAGGAGTAAGATCGAGTGCCTCGTTACCAATAAAATGGATTTCCGATTCTCGTCACACTGCTATTTGACACTGGTATTCGTTGAGGACGCGGTCTACGCCCAGTTTGGTTCTATCACGTAAAAATGTATCTCTATAAGTAAAAGTAAAGTAAAGTAAAGTTACAGCCTATATACGTCCCACTGCTGGGGATAGGCTCCGCTCATTTCTAAGAGGGTTTTAGGGCAAGGAAGTGTCCGCCGCGCTGCCCCAATGCGTGTTGGCGAACTTCACATGTCTTCGAAATATTTTTTATCTTATTCCTCAGCCATGCAGGTTTCCTCACGATGTTTTCCTTCACCGCCGAGCACGTGGTAAATCAGCACTTAAAATTGCAATTAACAATTTCATTGGTGCCGGCGGGGATCGAACCCGGGTTACTCGCGTTCTGTTATATTTACAGCGAGCGTCAACAATCTGAGCTACTACGGCTCTATATCTCTCTTTATAAGTGTTGTTGACTTAATATAGATTAAGACTCTTTTTACAAAATATTAATTAAAGTTATGTACACGATGCAATTTTTAATATAGAAAACCGCGAATTCTATTTCGTAATTGCAATTGAATATTTTTGAATTAAAGTAGATTATGGAATACTCTTTACTACCATACAGTTGCAGTTAATAGCAGTTTTCGCCCACATTTTTAATCATTTATAAATCAAAGATATCAATGACATGACTTATTATAATATTAGAATCAACTTTTTAAAAATAGCATTTTATATTTTCAGATCCATGATTTAAGGTCAATTCATAATCAGTTGAACAAATTGTTGTCGAAAAGTGAGAGATCTGAATTGAAGACTGATCAGTTGTTTGAGCCATTCACTGGTAAGTATCTTTCTATTACATATTAGCTAAGTTGTAAAAAAAATATTGGTTGCCTGTAAAGTCGGTATACGGGCGAAAGTTTTACGTGACAACGACTCTCTCACTCTCTCTCTCTCGCTCTGTCTCTCTCGCTCTTAGGCGGGCTAACTGTGCTCGAGTGGAAGGGACGCGTGCCTTTCACTTTTTATGTCTGTCTCTCTCGCTCTTAGGCGGGCTAACCATGCCCGAGTGGAAGGGACGCGTGCCTCTCACTCGCTCTCATTGTGAGCGCATAACGTGAGCGGAGCGTAACGCAGTTTCTTGAAGTGTCACCCGGCAAACCAATTTATAAGACGTTGTCACGTCAATACACATAGTACCTACATAATATGAATTGATGTTTGCATCTGTTTAATAGCAATAGACTAACAGATGCTCGGGCAGAACTAAAAATTCCATTTAAACTTTATTTATTTTTTGCCAAATGAATTGTTTTAGACGTAAACGTTTGGGTGTGTAATGGTCAAAACATCGCATGGGATAATTCAGTGACAAAAATTTTTGCCAATCTTCGACCTGCAGAAGCAAAAATAGCTGAGAAGTTGAGGCCCAGGCTTCACAATACGTCCACTAAACAAGTAATTAATATAATTTCTTTAAGTTAAGATTAATATTGCTTCTAATATTTACGCAAGTCAATGATTTACAAAGTCGAGATTAGACACCTGGTTATATTTATCGATGCTGTGTTCAATATCGAGTTAAGGGCAATCTATAGATTATTAACTTTTCGATTAATACATTTGCCATGTAATGAAAGGCAGGAGTTTTAAAGGTTGACTAAGGGAAACTTCACAAAATCTTATAGCCTTTCATAGATGGCAGCTTAACTATCTTTTCTATGTGAGACAAAAATTACTATGTTGATGGGAAGTAGTGTTATAGCTGCGAGGCGTCTAGCACTGGCATTTGCGCCAACCCGGCTGTCCATTGAAACGATTAAAGCGAACCCTCCCTATAATAGAGAAGGCTCATATCCAGCTGATGAAGTGGTTGAAGTAACTGTGCTAGTCATACGTCAACGCATGAGTCAATTTATGAAAGTTGATTACGTTAAATTGTCCCTACTATGGAGGAAGCTAATGTCCGGCGGTGGATTGGTTACGGGTGATAAACAAATGTAATTAAATTAACAGAAGGAACTTTTAACAGTTGCTAAATTCTCTCTTATGGATTTTAAGAATGAAGAGCTAATTTAAATTTTATGATAGTAATGTATTTACGACTTACATCATCAGTAGCCTTTTTAAATATACCGCTGGATATAGGTTTTACCAAAAACGCGCTAGTTGGCATATGATGGCTGATGGCTAACAGTGGTAGAGCCACGCGGCAGCTTCGCTGTTGCACGTATGGGCCGGCTCAAACCGGGGTGGTACCACGCCCTCACAGAATACCGGCGTGAAGTGGAAGCTCTGATTCCGCGTTTCATCTGGTGAGTGCAGGTGGCCGGAAGTCCAAATCCCCCCCCCCCATCAACATGGTAGCGGAATTAAATATGAGACTACCCCAGGAGGGTACCAGCACCTCTGGAGAATCCCTCGCTGAGCATCCACGACCAAGTTACTCCACTCCTGAGCGTGGGTGCTCGGGGGGGGGGGGGGCAAAATTCCGCTCAAGACTACAACTGCTCGGGGCAAACGGAGCAACAAGACCACGGCGACCCCTGCCACGCTATCCGTGAATTTCTGCAATATCAGGGGACTTCACTCTAACCTAAACGCCTTCCAATACCATCTCGAGACGGCGAGGCTGGCTCTGCTCTTTCTCACCGAGACAGGTGTCCTCTCTGGCTGATGTCTCGTATCTCTCCTACCCGGCGTACAAACTGGAACACTCCTTTGTGCCTCGGGCTGGAGTTTGCGTTTACGTCAGAGAGGACATCTGTTCTCGACGCCTCGGCAGATTTGAAGGTTCGGACCTGTCCATCCTTTGGCTACGCGTAGACAGTGACGACCATCCGCGCGTCTACGGGTGCTTCCATAGGTCCCATTGCGGTAATGCCGAAACAGACCGACTCTTCGACCACGTCCAAATGGCTATAGATTCGTGCTACAGCAGATCCCCTCCGCAGAGATTGTGATCCTCGGCGACTTTAACGCTCATCACGCCGATTGGCTTAGTTCACGTTTAACCGATCATGCGGGGAGATCTGTTCATGATTTTGCCTTGGCATATGGTCAGACACAACTGGTTACTTCGCCTACGCGGATTCCAGATGTGGAGGATCATACACCTTCCCTGTTGGACCTTCTGCTGACCTCTCACCCGGACGGATATCAGATTTCCGTCGACGCCCCTTTAGGCTCATCGGACCATTTCTTGTCCGGTGTGTGGTACCACTCACGCTGAAATCGCAGTTGCATTCTGCAGGCTGCCGCTGTGTTTGGCACTTTAGGTCAGCCGATTGGGATGGGATGCGGTCTTTCTTTGCATCCTACCCATGGGGGTGGGTTTGCTTCTCGCTGGATGATCCCAACGTTGTTGCGGATTCTGTCGCTGATGTGGTACTTCAGGGTATGGAGCTTTTTATTCCTTCCTCTGTGGTGCCCATTGGAGGCAAATCTCAGCCATGGTTTGGTCGCTCCTGTAAAATAGCATCATGCTATAAGCAGGAGTGCTACCAAGCCTGGGCTGACGCATCAATGTCCCGGGATGTAAACACCAGCGCTCTAAAAAAGAAGTATAATTCCGCCTCCAGGTCCTTCAAAAGAGTCATTGCCAAGGCAAAGTCAGAGCTCATAGGCAGAATTGACGAGAAACTAGTTCGCCTTCCTTCTGGAAGATCTGCGAGAGACCAGAATGCACGGGGCATTCTGGCCACTCGCCAAGGCTGTCCTGGGGAATTTTTGTCAGCCATCTCTTCCATCTCTGCACAGGAAGAACGACTCACTGGCCCATACCGCAAAGCAGAAAGCCGATCTGCTAGGCTCTTTCTTTGCGTCCAACTCGACTCTCGATGATGGGGGGAGTACGCCGCCGACCATCCCGCGGTGTGAGTGCTCCATGCCAGAAGTGCAGTTTATACTGCGCTCGGTTCGCAAAGCACTCCTCTCCCTGGACATCCACAAGTCGAGTGCGCCTGACGGAATCCCCCCAATTGTGCTTAGGAGGTGTGCTCCAGTGTTGGCACCGGTTTAACGCGTCTTTTCCGGTATTCCTACTCCCTAGGCGTAGTCCCAAAATCATGGAAAACAGCTTTCGTCCACCCGATCCCTAAAAAAGGCGACCGCTCAGACCCGTCCAACTACCGGCCTATCGCCATCACCTCCTTGTTCTCCAAAACAGTCTATTGTTGCCAGCTCATGAGGTACCTTGAGGCTGACCACCAGCTGATTAGTGATCGCCAATACGGTTTTCGCCTTGGTCGATCAGCTGGTGATCTTCTGGTCTACCTAACTCACAGATGGGCGGAGGCAGTAGAGTCCAAGGGGGAGGCATTGGTCGTTAGTTTGGACATTGCGAAGGCCTTCTTTTGGCACAAAGCGCTTCTTTCAAAGCTCCCTTCCTATGGGCTTCCCGAGAAATTGTGCAATTGAATCACCAGCTTTCTTGCAGATCGGAGCATCAAGGTCGTTGTAGACGGTGCAAGCTCCGATTACAAGCCTATTAATGCTGGTGTTCCACAAGGCTGCGTGCTATCGCCAACGCTGTTTCTTCTGCATATCAAAGATATGTTGCAAACCTGTAACATTCATTGCTATGCAGCAGACACCGGCCGTGCCAATATTTCTCGGGAAAACGTCTCCGAGTACCGGGACAAACTTCTGTCTGATGTCGAGTCTTTGCTGAACAGAGTCTCGGATTGGGGGCGATTAAATCTAGCCCAGTTTAACCCTCAGAAGACACAAGTTGGGCGTTAACCGATATAAAAAACCCCTTTGTCGTATCTCCTCAGTTTCAAGGCCCTTCCCTTGTTGCCTCAGCCAGTATCGGAATCCTCGGCGTCGACATATAGAGTGACGTGCAGTTTCGTGGTCACTTGGAAGAGAAGGCCAAATTGGCCTCTAAAAGGCTTGGCGTGCTCAGCAGAGCGGGGCAGTTTTTCATGCCGGCACACCGCCTGCAACTTTACAAGGCGCAGATTCGGACGCACATGGATTCTGTACTGTTCCCATCTCTGGGCTGGAGCTCCCCAGTACTAACTCCTTCCACTGGACCGCATCCAGCGCAGAGCGGCTCGAATTGTCGACGACCAAGTGCTTTCCTATCGGCTCGATTCACTGGCGCTGCGAAGAGATGTTGCATCTCTTTGCAGTTTCTTTCGCATATACCATGGGGAGTGCTCTGAGGAATTGTTCGGATTAATCCCAGCCGCCAAATTTCGTGAACGCACTACGCGGCAAACGTCTCGATACCATCCACACCATCTGGATGCTTGGCGGTTGGCGGTCCACCACTGTACGTTTCAAAAGAAGTTTTCTTCCGCGTACGACATCTCTGTGGAATAGTTTACCGCCGGCGATTTTTCGGGACCGATACGACCTGGGGACCTTCAAGAAAAGAGCTTACTCCTTTCCAAAGGGCCGGCAACGCACCTGCAATTCCCCTGGTGTTGCGGTTGACCACTTAACATCAGGTGAGCCGCATGCTCGTTTGCCCCCTCTTCTATAAAAAAATGTACTTGGGCCATTGAGTTGGTGAGCATAGAATAAATTATTAATCGTGCGCAGAAAGTTTGCCGATGACGTCATGGTGACACTTGTCGATGGTAGCTTAAAATATATGTTACTAAATTAATGGTTGCAGATGCAATGAATCAATAAAGGAAAAAATATTAATAAAAAAACGTTGTAGTTGTTAATAAGATTTATTAAGAGTGTGGCGGCGCTGTCGTCGCGCCGCAAGCGAAACACACCGAAGCTTAAATCACGCTATCAACATTCCGAATCATAAACAGCATATATAGAACATGTCCGAACTATCACACGGAGTGTCGGCCGCTCCCCGGGCAGAACACCTTGCCCGGCGGGAAATCTCCCCTTTTCCTGCCTCGGCCACAAAGAGCAAACTTTTTTTTATCTACTTTCGAAAAACGATAGAACCTTGAAAATAAAAACACTTTCGCCAGTCTGGCTACGTTGAATGTATGTGGGGCAATGAATGATAAAATGGATGAAGTATGCGATATGATGTATGATAGAGGAATAGATGTGTTATGTGTAAATGAGACGAAAAGGAAGGGGAAGGATGTCACTACACATGGCATGTATACCGCACACTGGTCTGGTGTAGACGAGATCGAGCGGGCATGCCAGGGAGTAGGTATCATCCTTTCATAAAGAATGGGCCAATGTGTGAAAGAGTTTGAATGTGTAAGCCCAAGACTGCTATGGATACGAATGAAAGTGGGTTTAAAGAAGTTGTTTGTGTTAGGGGTCTACGCCCCAGACATGTCTAATCCCACTTATATCCGAGAGCAGTTTTGGGAAATGGTAAGGATGGTGTTAATGAAGAGTAAGGGAAATGAAAATATTATTATGCTAGGAGATTTTAATGGAAGGGTTGGGGTGAGGAAGCTTGGTTATGAAAGTATATTGGGAACGTTTGGTGATGAAAGTATAAATGAGAATGGTGAAAGTCTCCTCAACGTATGTATGAAAAAGAATCTTTTTGTGACGAACACTTGCTTTCGCCACAAGAGGATTCACATGTATACTTGGGAAAGAGGTGACAATAGAAGCATGATAGATTTCATAATTGTGGATGAAAGATTGAGGGGCGCAGTGGTAGATACAAGGGTTTACCGGGGTTCTAACATAGGAACAGATCATTATTTGGTTTTATGCCGAATTAATGGTCTATTCAGGCGCTGGCGCCATCGGTCATCTGTGTCTACCACTTCGTTACAGCGTATTAGAACAGAAAGGTTACAAGATGAAGGTGAGAAAAACAAGTTCAAATGTAGACTGAAAGAAAATATAAGTGGTTTGGATGAATTATGTATGAAGTAGTTAGATTTGGAGAATGTATGGCAAAACGTAAAGAAAGGTTTAGTGGATGCAGCTACCGAAGTATGTGGTGTTAGTAAGAGAAAGAATGAAAGGAAAAATAATACCTTATGGTGGGATGATGAGATACGTATGGAAGTTGAAGCAAAGAAGAGAGCATGGCTAGATTTACTAGCAACAAAGGCAGGTAATTCTAGCGGTACGAATGATGATATTGAAAGAAAAAAGGCAGTCTTTAGACATCTTAATAAGAGAGTAAAAGAAGTAGTTGAAAGAAAAAAGCAAGAAAGAACGGATAAGAATGATAGAAGAATATCGGATAACTTCCAGTCAAATATTAAAATGTTCTGGAAACTTGTAAGAACTGCCAGGGGACATTCAAAACAGCCTATGCCTATATTCTGAATGATGAAGTTTTGAGTTTAAAGAGATGGAAGGAATATTTTGAAAGCGTGTTTATGAGTGAGGAGACAACGTGTGTACTAAGTGAAGTAGAAACTCCGAAAGAAGAGGAAAGAGGTAGCGAGATAAGTATAGATGAAATAATGAAAGCAATGAAAAGCATGAAAGCAGGTAAGGCTGCCGGATATGATAGAGTTTCACTCGAAATGCTAAGGGCTGGAGAGGAAGTTGTGGCAGGCCTGCTGCACACCTTGTTTAATTTATGCTGGGAACTGAAGCGGGTACCGGTAGACTGGTGCAAAGTCGTGATAGTCCCAGTATATAAAGGAAAAGGGTCGCGGCAGGACTGTAAAAACTACCGTGGCATCAGCCTTCTTGGCATTGTGGGAAAACTGTATGCTAAGGTACTGATTGAAAGGGTCATGAAAGAAACTGATGGAAAAATTTGGGATGTGCAAGCGGGATTTTAGAAAGGGGTACAGATCAAGTGTTTTCCATGCGCATGGTCGCGGAGAAGTTTTTGGCCAAAAACCAAAAGGTTTTTTGTGCGTTCATGGACTTGGAAAAGGCCTATGACAGAGTGGATAGGGATGTGCTATGGCAAACACTGAACTCATTTGGGTTGAGCGCTGGCTTGATACAGGCATTGGAGTCTCTTTATAGGGACTCTAGTGCTTGTGTTATGATCAACGGGGTCTACTCGAACTGGTTTGACATCCATAAAGGTGTCAGACAGGGCTGTGTGGCTACCCCGTGGCTGTTTAACCTATTTATGGACAGTTGTTTGCAAAATTTGAAAGTTGAAGAATGCGGATTAAGAATGGGTGAGTTAACCTTCAAATGCCTTTTGTACGCCGATGATCAAGTTATTCTTGCGTCGTCGGCGGCCGAGTTGCAAATGATGGTTACAGATGATGAATAATGAACAGATCATTAAAAGAAAGGGGTATGAAAGTGAACGCAAGTAAGACGAAGGTTTTGGTTTTTGAAAGAGAAGAAAGTAAAGCGATTTGTGAAATAAGAATAGAAGGGGAGTTGATAGAGCAAGTAGATGAGTTTGTATATTTGGGCTGCGTATTTAGCAGGGATGGGAGATATGATAACTATATAGAACGACGATTGAACGCAGGAAATAGAGTAAACGGGGCCCTGCACTCTATTGTGAAGAGTCAAAATGTGTCAAAAAAGGCACGCATGGCAATTCACAATCCTGTGTTGGTCCCTACTTTAACGTATGGTATTGAAAGTTGGATGTAGCAGAAGAAGCACGAGAGTAGAATCAACGCAGTAGAAATGCGGTCGTTAAGGAGTATGTTAGGGCTGAATCTGAACGACAGGGTAAGAAATTGTGTAATAAGAAAAGAGTGTGGTTTGCAAGATGATGTTGTGACCAGGATTAAGAAAGGAATGCTTCGGTGGTTTGGTCATGTGGAAGGAATGAATGACGAAAGGGTGACAAAGAAAATTTATGTTGCAGAAGTGAATGGCAGAGTCGGAAAGGGACGTCCTAGGCGAAAATTTATCGACCAAATTGGCGATTTATTGAAAACGGGCCAAATTAGGAGTACCCCTTAACCGACGAGCATGTATGCGTAGGTGTATGGATGTGCAGGAGGTAAGAGAGGTGTGTCAGGATCGTGCCAAATGGAAGTCTGTAGTCTCTGCCTACCACTCTGGGTGACAGGCGTGAGTGTTTATGTATTATGTATCATAACTAAGAACGATTGAGCGGCTCTTTGATTACCTATTATGGAACCGTAAGATATCTATGTTTTTTTTCTTTGAATTTGAAAATGTTTGTATAGCTTACAAATGTTTGTTCCGTGTCTTGATATTTGAACGTGTGCAATTTATTTATATAGAAAGCCTCCTTGCTACATAAGAAGATTCTAGCGTAATGTAACGTAAGCAACGTTTTTAATAAGATATAGATAAACTATCAAGAAAGCTATTACATAAGAAATGAAATTGCAGATGCTGTACGAGTTCATACGCTACAAGTCTCTCATAAACAGGCCAATAGTAAAACAGGCTTTAAATAACGAACTGGAAATCTTTGTGTCATCGTTACTGGAGATGTTGAAGAGCATCCAGATGCAGTTGGACTCGGACGAAGTTGACGTGAAGATGTACCAGCCGCCCGAAATGTCGCCCCTTGTGCAACAGATACAGTGGGCTAAGCAGATGGAGGCCAAGGTTTGCATTTCATTCGTTTTACGTTTAACTTACATTGTTCAAAAGACTGTTTGTACCAGGTAGGTATATTATTTCTGATCTATGCCGATGTCTCTCCCCAACTCTTTGTCAGACGATCAAAGAAGCAGAGTAAAATTTTTAATAATATCGTAAATACAGCAATTCAGAGGGCGCTGAGCCGTAAGAGAGAGGGTGTAACGCACACAAATATTACTGCTCCGTTTGAGTGAGTTTTGAGTGTTAATTTATCAAGTTAAATGAGCAAAGAGAAAAGAGCTTAGTCCTTTCTAAAGGGCCGGAAACGCACCCGCAATTCTCCTGGAGTTGCGGTTGATCATGGGCGGCGGTAGTCACTTAACATCAGGTGAGCCGCATGCTCGTTTGCCCCTTCTTCTATAAAAAAAAGCAAATTGTAAGGAAACTATAGAAGTAGGTGGATTAAACAGTGACTTAGTGTTTATAGTGTAGTGAAATAGTGTAAAATCGAAAATATTATCAACAATGGAAGTAATAAAGTGAAAAAAGCGATCGTAACGGTAGATCTTTACGAAGTTAATACAGTGAAATATCTCATAGTTCTTACTGTGGAATGTTTTAATTGACTTGAATACCAAAAATAATAATAAGTGTCACTTTGAAAACTCAAAGCAGAAAAATTTGTGATTTAATAATCTAAAAATAAAAGATGATAAAGCAAGAATAAGATATAAGATCACTGAATATGTAAATTTACAAAATCACATCACGGCCTAATACACTTATGTCACTACTTAATAAAAGAGGTCATAAATTTGAAATAAGTTTATTGTTAAAAATCGAAATAAATATTCCTTAATGAAAAATTATAATACCGTTAACAACAATAGGCCGAAAATTGATGTAAGTAAATAAAAATTAAGATGACGAAAAAGCCCTAAAATCCCTCCTCACTATATTATGGAAGCTTATCCTAATAAAGTTCCAAAACAAAAACAAAAACAGGTAAGAAGTAAGACCGCCAACCGTGTGGATGGTATCGGGACGTTTGCCGCGTAGTGCGTTCACGAAATTTGGCGGCTGGGATTAATCCGAACAATTCCTCAGAGCACTCCCCATGGTATATGCGAAAGAAAATGCAAAGAGATGCACCATCTCTTCGCAGCGCCAGTGAATCGAGCCGATCGGAAAGCACTCGGTCGTCGACGATTCGAGCCGCTCTGTGCTGGAAGCGGTCAAGTGGAATGAGCTGGTACTGGGGATCTCCAGCCCAGAGATGGGAACAGTATTCCATGCGCGGCCGAACCTGCGCCTTGTAAAGTTGCAGGCGGTGTGCCGGCATGAAATACTGTCCCGCTCTGCTGAGCACGCCAAGCTTTTTAGAGGCCAATTTGGCCTTCTCTTCCAAGTGACCAAGAAACTGCACGTCACTCTATATGTCGACGCCGAGGATTCCGATACTGGCTAAGGCAACAAGGGGAGTGCCTTGAAACTGAGGAGATACAACAAAGGGGTTGTTTATAGTGGTTAACGCGTAAACTTGTGTCTTCTGAGGGTTAAACTGGGCTAGATTTAGTCGCCCCCAATCCGAGACTCTGTTCAGCAAAGACTCGACTTCAGACACAAGTTTGTTCCGGTACCCGGAGACGTTTTCCCGAGAAATATTGGCACGGCCGGTGTACAGAGCATCACCAGTGCTGTCATCTGCATAGCAATTAATGTTACGGGTTTGCAACATATCATTGATATGCAGAAGAAACAGCGTTGGCGATAGCACGCAGCCTTGTGGAACACCAGCATTAATAGCCTTGTAATCGGAGCTTGCACCGTCTACAACGACCTTGATGCTCCGATCTGCAAGAAAGCTGGTGATCCAATTGCACAATTTCTCGAGAAGCCCATGGGAAGGGAGCTTCGAAAGAAGCTCTTTGTGCCAAACCCGATCGAAGACCTTCGCAATGTCCAAACTAACGACCAATGCCTCCCCCTTGGACTCAACTGCCTCCGCCCATTTTTGAGTTAGGTAGACCGGAAGATCACCAGCTGATCGACCACGGCGAAAACCGTATTGGCGATCGCTAATCAGCTGGTGATCCTCAAGGTACCTCATAAGCTGTCAGTTTACAATGGACTCGATTGTTTTGGAGAACAAGGAGGTGATGGCGATAGGCCGGTAGTTGGACGGGTCTGAGCGGTCGCCTTTTTTAGGCATCGGGTGGACGAAAGCCGTCTTCCATGATTTTGGGACTACGCCTAGGGAGTAGGAGTACCGGAAAAGACGCGTTAAAACCGGTGCCAACTCTGGAGCTCACGTCCTCAGCACAATTGGGGGGATTCCGTCAGGCCCACTCGACTTGTGGATGTCCAGGGAGAAGAGTGCTTTGCGAACTCTACTTAATCTACTTAGACAAAAAAAGATTCTAAAAGCAGAGATACAATCGAAATAGCAACTCCTCACACAAAAACTCTAGCAGAAGCAAACCTTCAGAAGCTTGAAATCGCTCTGTCGGAACTATGATGGGACATTTAGGGGATAAGCTAAATACGCAGACTTAGAGAGTCAATTGAAGACTGCAATTATTATATACTTACTACAAATGTGTAATGAATTGACAAAGGGAAGTCGGATTCCTAATTGATGCCTCGCTGAAGAACAAAAGAAAGGAGGCATATCTGACTGTATATCCCAGGTTAATATGACGTTACCTGGATATAGCAAAGATTGGGTAACCATACAAATATATGCCCCAACAGCTAACCCCAGCGACATAGAGCAGTTCTATCAAACCCGAGGTAAAACAATAAATAAAGTAAAAAATAACCATATCATAGTAATGGGTGATTTTAAGGTTGGATTTCTGGCAGTGGTTGTCAGTTCTTACAATCCGTCAAGTGTCATATTGCTCTACAAGATGCAGGAGTGTACAAGCTTGATTGTGAATGTGGTGTCTCATATATAAGGCAAACAAAAAGATAAATTAGAACCCGCGTAAAAGAACATGTAGCTGACGTGCAGCATTAATATTCCGGGACGTCTGCAGTTTGTGATTATATCCCAGACGGCCCCAACTATTACATGAGATTTGATAAACCACAAATCCTCGCGAAAGAATATCGATTCACGCCAAGGATGATACGTGAGGCTATTGAAATTTAAATAGAAAAAGAGACTGGGTACTAGGTACCATCTGCTTGGGATCCTGTAATTAATAAAATTAAAACTAAACCCAAGCATACGACTGCAATACTTCAAGACACAGTAAGTTCACTCTGCGTAGATCGGGCCATAAGTAATAATTAAAAGATGAAGGTACTCCGGAAAATCGCACACACTCAATGACCATGGCTTCTGGAAAGCACCCGAAATGTCGGGAATTAAAATCAAGTAAATTGAACGTGATAAAATCCGTAAAAGTAGTTTTATTCGACGTACATAAACATATTAAAACAAATCTATCATAAATGCTGAGCAAGAATTTACCTCGAAACACTAGGACGTGAGTATCTTATAAGAAGAAGGGTCAAACGAGGTGGCCCTGTTTCACCATAGCTATTTTCCTAGGTTGTAGAACATATATTTTGACACGTAAACTGAGATAAAATGGCCTTGAACATAAATGGAAAAGACTTTAGCACCTCAAATTCGCCGATGACACTGTTTTATTCGAAGAGAATCCCAAGACACTTGAAAGAATAATACAAGACCTATCATTGAAAAAACTGGTTTGGAATTGAACACGAAGAAAACCAAAATAATGTCCAGTTATTGACGGTGAAGTACTAGTTCACGTAAAATAATATATTTACTTAGGTCAAAACATGTCACAGAATGACCTAACATTAAAAGAAATTAATAAAATAATGGAAATTTTATGGTCACTTAAAAAAATACGAAGAATAGTGTTAGGAATGGAATGAAAGCTAAAAGTGTTTAAAATGTGTATTCATTCCTGTTTAACTTACGAATAACTATAGAAAATAACTTAATAAATAAAATAAATATATAAATAAATAAAATTCTAAATAACTTAGAAATAAATTGCTAACAAGTCAACGAGCCATGGAATGCTTGTTGTAAGGAAAAATGATTGAACGATGGCTATCCCAACGGATAGGTTTTAAGATGAACATGAACAAAACAAAGATCATGTGCATTGTCCATGTCACACTGATGCCGGTAGTTGTTGGGAGCACTAAGCTCGAAGCTTGGTTAGTCTAACTTCAACCGAGGTCATTCGATCGGATTCAAATCGGCTGGGCAGCGTTCGGGAAATTACGACACATCTTCTCGTCAGGTATACCTTAAAACTTGAAAACGAGATTGTACAACCAGTGCGTGTTGCCAGTGATGACTTATGGATCTGAGACCTGGCCCTTTAATGCTGGTTTTGTGGGAAAGCTTAAGGTTGCTCAGCGAGCTATAGAAAGACCTTTGCTCGGAGTTTCTCTGCGTGGTAGACTCAGAAATGAGCATATCCGCAGTAAAACCAGAGTAGCCGACATAGCCCAACGGATTAGTAAGCTGAAGTGGCAATGGGCTGCCATATAGCTCGAAGAACCGATAACCGATGGGGAAGAAAGGTTCTCGAGTGGCAGCCTCGTACCGGTAGGCGTAGTGTAGGGCGACCCCCTACTAGATGGAGTGACGACCTGGTAAGACATGCAGGAAGCCGATGGATGCAGGTGGCTCAGGATCGTGCTTGTGGCATTCTTTGGGAAGACCTATGTTCAGCAGTGGACTTGTGAAGGGCTGATGATGATGATTTATTAATTGATTAGTTGATTATTTAAATGTCATAATATATTATAATTACGTTCATTATTGATAAGTAATAATATTAATGATAATACTAATTGATAAAGTTAATTTATTAAAAGAATGATTTTGGAAATAAAAGGCTATTTTATCTTAAACACTGCAGTATCCTTAGTAGCTCAGGAGTGCTTTGGTTAACTACCTTTATCTTTTCATTTTTTGAATGTTTTGCAGGTCAAAGACATTCAAATGTGTAGCGAAGATTATCTTAAAGAATTTCAAGGCAGCGTTGAAGTGTGTAAACTAGCTGGTCAAGTTTTAAAAGATCTTAAAGAGTCATATACACAGTTACATGAAGAGTGGTCGAGAGATATACAGGTACTGTTATAATATGTACTAGTGGTCCCTAAGTGGTAGAAATTTTATGTTAGTAAATTAAACAAGCTCTATTCAACTTTTAACTATACATTAATATATAAAACAAAGGTATTTGATAGACATATACTAAACATAAAATAACTGCTTTTGCTAGTGTAACAACTACACATGCTATTGAGAAAGTATCATTTACGTAGGTCACTCGATAAGTTTTGAGATGCTCGAAATTTAAAAATGAAACGCACCCGTGTTGTTTCTAAAAAGAAAATTTATTTAAAAATAGACCTCCATAAGTCAATTGCTCAATATTAAAAAAAACAAAGTTCCATTAATTTTCCTGCAACGCTTCCCGTGCTTTTCATTTAGACCCTGCCTGCAAACACCACTAACGGCAGAAAATGTATGGACTACTGAAATGTTGGTGCGAGAAGACCCACGAATCACGACATCGAAAGGATTGTAGGTATTAGTTCGGGGAGCATTCATACCATCCTACATCAACATCTTGGAGTGAGGAAGCTTTGTTGTCGATGGATCTCTCGTTTGCTCTCCGAAAGCGAAAAACAGACTCGTGTGGATTGGTGCCATGAACGTTTTGAAAACGGGGCATCTAGGCGTGTTTCAGAAATCGTTACTGGTGACGAGACATGGATCTATCATATGATCCGGAAAATAAAAGGCAATCGTCGGTATGGGTCCACTCGGAAGGACAGTTACCGACAAAACTGCAAAGATCTTGCAACGTCGGCAAAAAAATGGTGGCTAGTTTTTTTTCACTCAATGGTACACTACAGTTTCATTACCAAAGCTTTTCAAGCTGTGCGGGAGAGAAGACCAAAGACCAGGCTTCGGGGAATCATGCATCACGATAACGCCTCTTCACATACCACCCTTAGAACAAAAACATTTATTGAGAAATCTGGTGTTGAAATTCTAAATCACCCACCCTACAGCCCTGACTTAGCTTCTTGTGATTTCTTTTTGTTCCCAAGAGTCAAAGCAAAATTTTTTCAAGCACCAAAGAAGCCGTGGCTGCCTACGAAGAAGTGATTTCCGACCTGTCAGATCAAGACTGTCAAAAGTGTTTTCAGTGTTTGTTTAGGCGAATGGAACTTTGTATAGAGCATGATGGAGAGTATTTTGAAAAGATGTAACATAAATATTAATAGTATCTAGAATACTTTTTGTATATTTGTATATCTCAAAACATATTGAGTGTCCTACGTAAAATCACACAAAATTCGTAGCCCATTCAGTGACTATTTGTTGTCAACATTTGAAAATTTCTTGGCGACAAACATAATTATATGTTTTAACTTTAAGGGCGAAAATCTTTTCTCCGTACGACTGTTAGACTACTGACTATTATGTGTTTGACATTGGCTGTCTGAATGTAAATAAACGCCAATCTGCATTTTGATTCTTAATTGACGATAGATATACATGTCTATGGGCTACAGCAGCTACATAACATCAGGTTGACTTTGTGGTAGTAGACCCTTATTCAATAAAGTTAAATAAAATAAAAATATTTTTTGGGGAAGCCGACATCCTCGAACGATCTATGTACCGAAATGGCTCCCCATTTCGGCTTTCTCTCCGTTTAAATTTTATATTTTATGTTTGTAGAAAAATATTGTTACGCGCTCAAATCGACAATACACTAGCGCCATCTAGTGTCAGAAACGAGAGCGAGGGGAGCATTGAGAAAATGACATCACAAATCACTCAACCGACAGCGCCTAGTCGAAACTCGAACGCTCGGTACCTTGCGCGTGTTTACTTGAACATTCTGGATATTTCTTTGCTAATTTAAATATATAGGCGCTGCAAGATGCGATCGAGGCAGAGTTGAACTCGGCGACACAAGCGAAGCTTCGGAGCGGAATTAAGTGAATTAGTGTGTTTAATTATTAGTGTTTTTAGTTTTAATTTGTGTAAAGTAAATTAAAGTGTTAATTTAGGTAATTTTATCGGCAATTTTTATTGTCACGAACCTCAAGCTCGTAACAATTGGTGTCAGAAGTGGGATAAAATCATGCCGATTTTACCTAAGGAGGAAACGGAGGGTGTCCGTACCCGAAGTCAACGCCAGCAGGAGACGGACCAAAGGAGATTTGGTGGTGCAACGCCGCAGACGGCGGAGGGTCAGCCGCCGGCTGCAGGCCCGTCAGTAGCTCCTGAGGGTCAGCCGCTGGCTGCAGGCCCGTCAGTAGCTCCTACATCTGCAGCACCTGACTTAGGTGCTCTGATGGCGATGCTGCAGGAGCAGCTGCAGCGCGGACGAGAGGAACAGGCCCGTCTGTTGAAAGAGCAGCAGGAGGAACAGGCTCGCCGACAGGAGGAACAGGCCCGTCGGTTGGAAGAGCAGCTCAAGCGCGATAAGGAAGAGCAGATGCTCCTCATGAAGGACATTCACGCTACCTTCGGGAAAGAGATAAAGGAGGTGAAGGATAAGGTTGCTCAACATGAAAACCGCCTGTCGGAAGCTGAAACCCGTATCGACCAAGTGAACAATAGGGTTGACAACGTAATGTCTAACATGAAGAAATCACTGGACGAACTCAAACTGGGTGATGGAACTACAGCTCCCGTAGTAGCTACTACACCTTCGCTACGTGGGTTCAAAGTGCCACCGTTCGACGGGACTTCTTCCTGGTCAGCCTACAAAATCCAGTTCGAGGCTGTTATGAAGACGAACGGCTGGAATAAAAGTCAGGCCATGACTGCTCTCACACTAGGCCTGCGCGACCAGACCTTAACAGTTCTGGAAGCTCTCGGTGAGGAAGTGACTTATGAGCAACTCCTTGAGGCATTGGAGGCGAGATATGGCGACGCTCACCAGGAACACGTCTTTCGTGCGCAGCTTAAAGATCGTGTGCAGCGCATCAACGAAAACCTGCAGCAGTGGGCTCTAGAGGTGGAGAAGCTGGTGCGAAAAGCATACCGGTCTGTACCTGCGCTCATTGAAAGGAACCTGATGCAGACATTCATCGACGGCATCCGTGACCTGGAAGTCAGAGCTGCTGTGAGGCTCGGGCACCACGAGACGCTTAAGAACGCCTTGGCCCATGCACTGGAGGTGGAAGCCGTGCGGCAGGATCATCGTTCCCATCGCGTCAGGGAGGTTGCAGCAGCTACAGTCCGTGACCGCAGCAAAGGATACAGCCCTAGGTGCTATGGCTGTGGGGAAAAGGGCCATCTTCGATCCAGCTGCCCTAAACTAACCGTGGAAAGGAGAGTTGATCGATCTCGAGAGGGTAGTACAGCTAACGGCACTGCCTGGCGGCGACAGGATCATCGTTCACCTCACGCTAGGGAGGTTACAGCAGTTACGGTTCGCGACCACAATAAAAGATACAACCCTAGGTGCTATGGCTGTGGGGAAAGGGGCCATCTTCGGTCCAGCTGCCCTAAGCACACCCTAGAAAGGGAAGGTGAACGGTCTCAGAAAGGAAGTGCGGCTAACAGCACCGCCCAGCAGCAGCAGGAATACGACTTTACTATCAGACACTGCAGCGGGAAATCTCACGGCAACGCAGATGCATTGACAAGAAGACCTTGTCCTGAAGATTGCTACCATTGTAGTAGGCAAGAGAGTAAGGATGTGGTATCCGTGAGGATGCTCAGGACAGACCACCTCAGCAACGGGTGGAAAGACAGCCTACGACATGCATAGCAGGAAGATCCGGACATCAAGCCGATTCTGGGATGGATGAAGGCCCGTGCTACCAAGCCTAAGTGGAGGGACGTCTCAGCGATGAGTTCAACCACGAAAAGCTATTGGGCCCAATGGGACAGCTTGCTGATTCAGGATGGAGTCCTGTGCCGTAAATGGGACAATGGTCGAAGGGACAGCTGTTGTTTACAAATGGTTGTCCCTAAAGCTAAAGTGCCGAATGTTCTAAAGCTGTGCCATAATGGTCGTTCAAGAGTCCATCTGGGAGTTAAACGAACTCTACTGAAGGTCCGAGAACAGTTTTACTGGGTCCATTATCGTGACGATGTCGAGGATTGGTGTCGTACATGTACAAGTTGTGCGGCCGTGCGGGGACCTCAGACACGTAGTAGAGGAGCACCGAAATTGTACAATGTTGGTGCACCACGGGATAGAACAGCCCTTGACATTGCGGAGCCGTTACAGAAAGGCGCAAGAGGGACTCCTAAGATCGTCCATGTGGATCGCTTGACGCGTTATTATGGGGCCGATAATGCTCGGGACGAGCATGTCTTAGGAAGGGGCAGTGTTACGCGCTCAAATCGACAATACACTAGCGCCATCTAGTGTCAGGAACGAGAGCGAGGGGAGCATTGAGAAAATGACATCACAAATCACTCAACCGACAGCGCCTAGTCGAAACTCGAACGCTCGGTACCTTGCGCGTGTTTACTTGAACATTCTGGATATTTCTTTGCTAATTTAAATATATAGGCGCTGCAAGATGCGATCGAGGCAGAGTTGAACTCGGCGACACAAGCGAAGCTTCGGAGCGGAATTAAGTGAATTAGTGTGTTTAATTATTAGTGTTTTTAGTTTTAATTTGTGTAAAGTAAATTAAAGTGTTAATTTAGGTAATTTTATCGGCAATTTTTATTGTCACGAACCTCAAGCTCGTAACAATATTTTAACAACAAAAACATAGTTATTCAGATAAATGTAATTCTTGTGTTAGGAAGCCCTATTATATCATGTTTTTTTTAATATATTTTGGCAACAAACAGTCATATTTCTTAATATATAATTTACATTTTACATTTACACTTTACAAAAAAAGACCAAGTAGTGCCAATAAATATACATTAACAAATCATATTATTTACATTGTGAGACAACATAGTCGGGCAACAAATTTTACTGCAAAAACTTTTTTAACTTTGTTTTAAGAAGATTAGGACTAGTGCTAAAAAGATCTATTTCTGAAAAATGTTTGTTATACATGTTGGTGGAATGACATATATAAGAGTTGCGTGTATAGTTTTTATGAAACCGTGGAGGAATGAATAGTGGTAACGAACGTGAGGAGCGCACTGGAAGACGAACGCTTGCTGGAAGTGAAAACATAGACAAAAGAGTCGGTGAATCTATAAATGAATTTAGAATTTTGTATAAAAGAATAATGTCAAACATTTTGCGTCTGTTAAAAAGACTTAGCATTTTGTGTCTGCACAAATCTTCATTATATGATTCGTTCTCAATACCGTAACGATAGTTAAGGGATTTCAAAAACTTTTTTTGTACTTTTTCTATCCTGTCTTGCGAATTGCCATACGTGCCTTTTTCGACACATTTTGACTCTTCACAATAGAGTGCAAGGCCCAATTTACTCTATTTCCCGCATTCACTCGTCGTTCTATATCCTTATCATATCTCCCATCCCTGTTAAATATGCAGCCCAAATATACAAACTCATCTACTTGCTCGATCAACTCCCCTTCTATTCTTATTTCACAAATCGTTTTACTTTCTTCTCTTTCAAAAACCATAACCTTCGTCTTACTTGCGTTCACTTTCATACCCCTTTCTTTTAATGATCTGTTCATTATTCATCATCTGTAACCATCATTTACAACTCGGCCGCCGACGACGCAAGAATAACTTGATCATTGGCGTACAAAAGGCATTTGACGGTTAACTCACCCATTCTTAATCCGCATTCTTCAACTTTCAAATTTTGCAAACAACTGTCCATAAATAGGTTGAACAGCCAAGGGGAAGCCACACAGCCCTGTCTGACACCTTTATGGATGTCAAACCAGTCCGAGTAGACCCCGTTGATCCTAACACAAGCACTAGAGTCCCTATAAAGAGACTCCAATGCCTGTATCAAGCCAGCGCTCAACCCAAATGAGTTCAGTGTTTGCCATAGCAAATCCCTATCCACTCTGTCATAGGCCTTTTCCAAGTCCATGAACGCACAAAAAACCTTTTGGTTTTTGGCCAAAAACTTCTCCGCGATCATGCGCATGGAAAAGACTTGATCTGTACATCCCATTCCCTTTCTAAATCCCGCTTGCACATCCCAAATTTTTCCATCAGTTTCTTTCACGACCCTTTCAATCAGTACCTTAGCATACAGTTTTCCCACAATGCTAAGAAGGCTGATGCCACGGTAGTTTTTACAGTCCTGCTGCGACCCTCTTCCTTTATATACTGGGACTATCACGGCTTTGCACCAGTCTACCGGTACCCGCTTCAGTTTCCAACATAAATTAAACAAGGTGTGCAGCAGGCCTGCCACCACTTCCTCTCCAGCCCTTAGCATTTCGAGTGAAACTCTATCATATCCGGCAGCCTTACCTGCTTTCATGCTTTTCATTGCTTTCATTATTTCATCTATACTTATCTCGCGACCTCTTTCCTCTTCTTTCGGTGTTTCTACTTCACTTAATACACACGTTGTCTTCTCACTCATAAACACGCTTTCAAAATATTCCTTCCATCTCTTTAAACTCAAAACTTCATCATTCAGAATATAGCCATTCTCGTCTCTTATAGTATTCATCATAGGCTGTTTTGAATGTCCCCTGGCAGTTCTTACAAGTTTCCAGAACATTTTAATATTTGCCTGGAAGTTATCCGATATTCTTCTATCATTAGTTATTTTTTTATTATATATTAGTTAGTTTAGTTATGTATATCATACAATATTTTAAATTAGTATTTACCTACAAATAAACTGTAAAAAAGAGCCTCTGGATCATTATTTTGGTCAATTTGTTGATTTAGGTGAAATATCATTAATTTAAAAAATATATTCTTTTAGAAATATAAATAAATACCTGATCTTTAAAGCTTTTTCGTGCGTTTAGGCTTCATTGCTTTCTCATTTCTATTTAAACTATAAGAAATAAATATCGACAAAGAAATTGGTGATGACAATTTTCTTATTTTTTTCTAAGTAACTTAAAATGGCCTAGGTTTTTAATGACTGAGTGAGTTACAGTATAGTTTTTTGATGACTATAGGAATATATAAGGGTGATAAACGAAGAAGAAGTTGCACTCCTTTTTTGTTGACTACTTGTTGACGTTTTAATAGCCTATATAATAATTATTAATTAGATAAATCTAATAAAATTAGATACAGTTGAAAGGAAAAAGCAAGAAAGAATGGATAAGAATGATAGAAGAATATCTGATAACTTTCAGGCAAATATTAAAATGTTCTGGATATTCGTTAGCACTGCCATGAGAAATTTAAAACAGCCTAGGATAAATGCTGTTCAAAAATAAAAGGGCTTTATGCTAAATGACGAAGTTTCGTGTTTTAAGAGATGAAAGGAATACTTTGAAAGCGTGTTTATAAGTGACGAGACGTTTGAATTTAATGAACTAAGAATCCCTAAAGAAATGGAAAGAGGTAGGGAGATAAGTAAAGATGAAATAATTAAAGGCATGAAAGCAATGAAAAGTATGAAAGCAGGTAAGGCAGCCGGATATGATAGAGTATCCCTAGAAATGCTAAGGACTGGAGAGGGAGTGATGGCAGGCCTGCTGTACACATTGTTTAATTTATGTTGGAAACTGAAGCGGGTACCTGGAGACTGATGTTAAGCCGTGATATCAGTCTGCTTTGTTAAAAGTTAAAGAAAAGTTCAAGAAAATTGAAAGAGTTATGAAAGAAACTGATGGAAAACTGAGATGTGCGAGCTGGATTTAGAAAGGTAACCGGATCAAGTCTTTTCCGTGAGCATGATTCCTGAAAATTTTTGGCCAAAACTCAGAAAGTATTTTGTGCATTTATGGACTCGGAAAAGGCTTATGGCAGAGTGGACAATCATGTGTTATGTCAAAATCTGAACTTAGTTGGGTAGGTCTCTTTATAGGGACGGGACAGTGCTTGTGTCGATCAACGGAGTCTACTCGAACTAGTTTGGCATCCATAAAGGTGTCAAACAGCTGAGCTTCCCCGTAGCTGTTCAACGTATTTATGGACAGTTGTTCGAATACTTTAAAAGTTGAAGTATGTGTTTTTTTTTAGAATTAACCATCAAGTTATATTTGCGTCTTCGGCGGCCGGGTTGCAAATGATGGTTACTTTAATGAACAGGTCATTAAAAAGTGGAATGAAAGTGAACGCAAGTAAAACGAAAGTGATGGTTTTTGTAATAGAAGAAAGTAAAACTATATGTGAAATAAGAATAGAATAGAAGGGTATATTGGCTGAGTAAATAGATGAGTTTGTGTATTTAGCAGGGATGGTAGATGAGAAGACGATATAGAACGACGAGTAAGCGCAGGAAATAGAGTAAATGGGGCTTTACACTATTGTAGAAAGTCAGAATGTGTACAAAAAACCCTTAATCGATGAGCATGTATGCATGGGTATATGGATTAAAAGGAGGCGAAAGAGGTGTATCAGGATCGTGCCAAATGGAAGCTATAGTCTCTGCCTACCTCTCTGGGTGACAGACGTAAGTGTTTATGTATGTACGTATGCGTGTAAAGATTTAAAACTTCATTACATTCCGAACTGGCAGGCGCAAGTGAAGTCAGGGTCGCTCCAGCTATCGGTGGACAAGCCAGTGGTAGAGTTCTCGGCGCAGAATCGGATGATGGTGGTGAACTACAACCCGCGTCTGGTGTGGACGGAGCTGGAGGCGCGGGCGCTACTGGCGCTGGGCCTGCCGGCGGCCCGCGCGGCACAAGCCGTCGACGTACTCGCCACTTCGCTTAGATATGCTCGGGACTTGCAGCAGGTAATAGTGTAGCACCAACTATCTAACTAACATAGTCTTCTTCTTCTCTTTTTCTTTATCAGAGAGTTTGCTTTAATCGCAGTCATAACCCTCCTGCCAAGTTTAATGGTAATTCTTGGCAGGCAGATTATATAATCAGAATTTGCACGCCTTTGACACTACTCGTGTCGTCAGTTATTATATAACTGGTAAGTACGATATATTCACAACATCATCTATTGAAGGTCATGTGGTATTTTCAACATTTCTTATAACCTTATAGTTCTACCGTATAGCTCTCTTTTAAGGATATCCTTAAGATCCGTATAGATTTCATGGGTTGGCAGCAAAAAAAATACTTAACACATATTATCGTATTGTCAATACATTTTGTAAACTGCGTTTTTGGTGTTCCCGTCCTTTGCTAAAACATTTAACAACAACAAGATTTCGTGGGCTCGAGACTCGTGAGCACGCCACTTACAGTAACCCATGGGAAAAACTGTCTGGTTTTTTTTTCTAAATATACACCTGCTACTTTTAGTGTTTGTCTTTGAGCTTTATTTATTAACTAGACTCTTTAGAAGTGGAATAGCAAATCGGTCTATATTATTGAAATACGGGGAATTAATATATTCTACCTATCTTCTCTCTTTGCTGTTCCTGTCATAATTATCGCTCTTACAATATTGCGTTCCAGATGTTTAATTTGTAGCCGTGTGCCATTACAGAGTCTTGGTGCGTTAATATTTCGCATTAACAGGACTAGAACATCAACTTACAGTTTCAACATACGGGTCCAACAATTACTAAGATTTGAGAAACACTATAGGTTATAACGTCACTTGCTCAGTCCATGACATTGTCTACAGACAGATAGCCTACAGACAGATAGTCTCTACAACATTACCTTCCAAATTGACATGATTTTTTCGTTGATCTGCCCAACAATTTCAGTCGTGTGTGTGTTTCACAAGTGACTGGAGTTATGAAATTATGTAGGTATAGTGTGATATTTTTTTGTTTATTTCAAGCTCCTGAATTGCATTGATATTGATATGTAAATATCAACAAGAATGTTACTTGTTCCAAGATCAATATAGCAAATCCCCAAGTTTAGAGACATTTTAGCCATTGTATATAATAAATCTACCAGATAGGCCATCAGTGAGAAAAATAATTCAGCATTTCAGAATTCAAATATCTGTCAGTAAATTGATTAATAATCTCATGACAGTTGACAGCTAACGTCAAAACGACATCAATTCGCCATTATTGTTGCAGTTTTAGGTAAAAATAAAATATTAATACCACTGAAATAACGGCAAATTCGTGGATTTGAATGACCAAAAGTAGTATAATATAATATTTTAATTTATTTCCCTACTTGTACAAAACCAGGCCTACGCTCCATACAATTTTCAAAAACTGTTGTTAATTTTTTTTAGACAAATGTAATTATAAAAATGCTGTTTTTGTATCTAACAATGATATTCATTAACACAGGAAAAAAATTACGTCATTTGTTAAGGGGAAATAGGGGCCTATGCTACCTCAAATGGCTTAGCAAGATCCTCTGTTACGCTGAAAATATTGCAGCATTTATTTTTTGAAATAAATATACTTACTTATGGTAAAGTTGAGGATTAATGTTAAGTATTATGTTAGACAACAAAAACGACGTAAACACGATTCCGTAAAATTTTCTCTATAGAAAAACTGAACAATAAACCGCTGGTATTCATAAAATACTTTAAATTATATCATGAAACTTTGCAGACTTACTGAACTAACTAGAAAGAAGGGCTTACGTATTTTTTTAAATTACCATTATTTTTACTGTAAAATAAATTACCTAAACTATCGGCGTCTTGAAGCTTGTTTCCTGCCGTTCGATCAGTCTCGCTTCGGCTTTCGAACGGGAATGTCGCTTACGATCAGAATTCACATTACGAAACAGGACGACGTAAAAATTAAAGTTAAAATGGGAAATAACCGTAATAAAACTAAGAAGCGACTAGGTTGGCGTAAAGAAAAAGGCATAAATATGATAAGCCTAATGAAATAAGTATATAACGACCTATATACCTACTTACGGTATTAGTGATTACAAACATGTCGGTACATCGCATACAACGCGCGGGGAAATTTGGGCGAAATTAGGATTTGATATGAGGTAGTATAGGCCTTTAAGAAATTGTTTTTAAACAAATATATTAGTTAAAACTTAATATAACCTAACCAAAATTTTTAAGTACTTTGTTATAAATGGCTGTTTTTTAGAGATGGACCGAATATGGATTTCACCGTACCTATACGAATATTCGGGCAAAAGTTCGGTAAAAGTTTTACCGGACTGAATATTGGGCCGAACATTATTCGCCAGGATCACCTCGGTACCTAACCGATTTATGTCGAAACTTGTTACCGTAAAGCGCGCCAGATCAGGTACTGAGAAAATTGCCGGTACATGCTTATGTTTTGACTATTTTAGTAAAAATTGATAATTATATTATAAAAATCACTGGCAAGAGATCTATTATTTGGACTTATTTTAGAGAAAGTGATACTAAAGTGAAATGTACTAATGTAATATTTTTTTGTTTGATTCCAAAAAAGATTTTATCAAACTTTCTATTTGTTATAATTAAAAATAAATCTACAGTGCCTCAAAAACATAACGCTATACAAGTAAATTTAACCCATAAATAAAATATACTTTCAACAGTAAAATTATGAAAGACATGGCATTACTCAATTCGTATATTTCAATACAGTGGACACTTTGAGTACAACTTTAACGAATGTTCGGTGATTTAGCCGAATTTTCGGCCGAATACGAATATTCGATACAGTTGCCGAATATGCCGAATTCCGAATATGAAACGAATATTCGGCACATCTCTACTGTTTTTGTAATTTTTTTTTTGCTTTCAGGAAAATATAAAAGGAGGTTAAAATTGTTTGTAACAAATTATCAACTAAATAAAAAAAAATTTATATTGAATATACAGGTCGCATCATTCCACAACACGCTAGGTGAGCGTATGATTCCGTCCACTCGACCCATGATGCTACAAGCTGCTTTGGACTTGTCCGCCCTGGTGCAAGATCAAAAGGCCGTCTACTGGAACGACATTGAGCAACTTTCTAATTATACAGAAAAATTGAAGAAGATGGTCCTAAAACTGGAGACACAGGTAATTCTTCACACATCTTCATTTATTATATTGCGCTTTTTTAATTATTAATTATTTAAATGTTTGATCTGATTATTATTACGCGAATCATATGTGGGTATTTAATATTAATTTATAAAACTTTTCGATCTGGTTTTGAACAAGTTATTTTAATTATTGAAAATAATTTACAATAATGAGAATATCTTGATTTTAAGGAAGTTAGAGACACCATAGCATTCTTTTACAATTAACAATACCTATTATATCATAACCAATGATCTTACATTCATTCCACTAAAGTATTAATGAATGTAAGAATAGTAAACTTATGTAGGTGTTTCATATTATAAAAGCTTAGAATTTTATCTTAGAAATTATGGGTCCTTAGATTTTATAAGGTTTATCTCATAACTTATCTACTTTTTAGAATTCCTACCTGACGAGTCAGCATGTTGCAATAAGAAATATTGTCGAAAAACTAATGGACACAGAGCTACTAGTGAAACAATCGGAATGGAAGAAAAGCATCAAAGAAATAAGAGATATAATTGAAAATGTACGTACATAACAATAAGAGTATTGTCCCGTGACCCGGTTGCCTATAAAGAAGAGGTATTTTCCGTAAGAAATGCGCGTAACGATTGAGAATATAACTATAGGTTAAGATGAGGACATTTCTTTCATATTAGCGATCTTCCCCGGGTGATTTCTGGATCTCGACAACAGTGCCACCTACCGGGTTCAAGTGTGAGTCTTAACCATCTAGGGACCCATTCAAACACACAAACAAATTCAACAAAATAGGTTGAGCCGTTTTTGGGTTTTAGCAAGATTAACGGACAGCAATTGATTTATATAGTATTATGAACACACATATAATTAAGTATATATATATACAACGGGGCACTACAATGGTGACTTTAATTTAACACACGGGTCGGGCTATTACATTGTATTTAAATAAATCGATTACTGATTGCTCTGAGATGTATTAAAGCAAACATTTAGAGTGAGTTCACACGGCGCGTTGCGTTGCGTTGCGTCGTCTTAACGCAAATATTTTGACGCATCGCCGGCCACACAGGCGCTGCGTTATCGCAGCGTTGCTACAACGCAGTCGTAACGTTTCTTCGTCGCAGCGGCGACGCACCGTTGTAATGAGCATTTTTTTAAAAACATTGCAGTCTATTCGAAAACATGAATCGAAAAAGTCGTCTGGCATTGCTCATATTACTACGTCACTACCGAAATCGACGCAAAATCACAAGACAGTATTAGACTATAACTTCTCTTTCCTGAATTAATGAAATTAAGTAATGCATATAATTTTTTTAATGGTACTCATTTTACTCTGCAAATTAAACTCAAAGAAAAAACGAAATTAGCTTGCGTACTATCAACGCACAAACAAATGAAGTAACTTTTCTTGACTTATTCTTATTCTATAAAAAAGAGACAAAGCTTATTCATTTTGGACCTCGCATGTCCTCTAAATGTTTTCTTCTTATGTTTTATCTGACGATGTTTTGTGGTATGATAATGTTCATTTTAATCACATGGATGGCTCGTTGCGATATTTGAATAAAATATATGATTATTTAATTCTAGGTTGAAGCAAATGGCTATAAGAATACAGAGCAATGGAGATCCCATTGGGACTGGCAATTGTACAAAGCGCTCGAGTGTCAATACATAAAGGCGCTGCTCTCACTTCACACACACTTTCCGCACGTCAGAATTGACTTGGTGCTGCGGTAGGTTAAAGTTTATATTGTTGCTTCTATACTGGCTCTTACCACTCTTAATGTATTTAGAAAGATGCACTAAATGTGGCGTGCTGCACACATATTTGGGTCAACAGTCATCACATCAGTTTTTTTTAAAATCCCTAAACTAAAACTGTGTCCTGCAACTTTTTGGCATGTTTTATATAGGTCTCTAGGTAGTCTAATAATCAAAAATAATCTTATTGATATCTTCTGTATTCTCCATACATTTCTGAAAACATAGCGGAAGAGTAAAGTGCCTAATAATCATAGTATAAATAAAGCAGTATTTTTGGATGGCAGATAGATTTTTTGTAAATTATCGTAAGTGCTATGCTTAAAGATTATTGGCTAATTTTGAAATACATACAATTTTACAAATTGATTATTTGATGTACGCAATACACGCAATATCATAGAATAAAAACGCATTTTAAACTTTTACGATTTCAATAATTGGAACCATAAAGATTATACTAATACATGCAGCAAGATTATTTTATAGTTTGACATTAAATTTGTTATTGCCAATTTAGTATCCGCATTTAAAAAGAAAATTTAAGTTATATACAATATTATTCTACTTTGATCTAGTAGCTTATACCGCTCGGACAAAAATCAAGGAATAATTTCTTGAAAGCGACAAAAAAATTGCATAAAAACGAATTATTGAGTTACACAGTGCCGTTAGCTGTTGTGCAAAGGCACTATGTAGTACTCCTTTTTCGTCGAAAGCAACCACAGGATACTTTTACATACATAATTCAAAACTATCAGCATGACAAATACCTTAATCTCTAGTATTTATGTCTCGATATTATAGGTTTTGACCTCCTGTCTTTAACATCATCTACTTCCGCAGATACATCAGCAAAGTTGAAATTTTTATTAAATAATCAGCAAAGATACATCAACTTCATACACGTTACACTTGAAGGTTTTTATTTTTTATAGCATTAGGGTGACAAATGAGCACACAGTCTACCGGGTGGTAAGTGTATGCTGTGGCCCATAGACATCTACATTTAACCTCGAATAAGAAACAAAATGCGGATGCGTTGTCACCCTTGAGGACTAAGATGAAATGCCTCGATTCCAGAAAAACGGGTCTGCGGTTCTCTACACTCACCATACGAAACACAGTAGCATTAAGCTATTTCACGCTGGTATTCTGTGAGAGCGTGGTCCTCCCCGGTCGAGCCGACCCATTCATGCTGCAATCAATTACGGTGTGGTAGAGCTACGCTCTACCACGTATGCAGGTAGTTTTAATAAATAGTAGTCCATTCTTGGATTTATTAGAGAAGATGTCATGTATTTTGTAACAGAAAATAATATTTTATTAAAGTTATTGCTGTTTGATTACATTGTCTTTAATTTATTTTTATTTATCATTTATTATAATATTAAGGTGAAACCTATGGACTGCTCCCAGCCATTCTCCCGCAAGATGGTGCTGAAGTCAACATTTTTAGTTTGTTTGAGTTTTTGTGTAATTGGAAAATTATTAAGTCGTAGGAGTAGACTGTGGTTATCGGGTATTACATTTTATTGGAATGGGTCATATCATTGCCTCAAAATCCACCCAATTCGACACAAAGTTTGATTATAACATCTGTAATTGAATATAGTGTCGTTTACACACACAGACGTATCCCTACGTTTAGGAAGCTTGAACACTAGATGGCGTGTATGTAAAAAAGCAAGTTTTTAATTTTTCTGTATGAGTAGATTGGGTAGGCAGAACTACAAAACGCTATGTACGATTGTTATAAAAATAAAAGTTATATTTGTTGGCGTGAACTTTTTAATTGATTTATAACTATGGGAAATAAATTACGTCATCATTGATTACAATATACGTTTTATTTTATTACATTACACTATTGAATTTTTTATCAAAACAGAAGTACCTATTTGAAGCAACATTATTGTGCTGATACATACCTATTCACTCAAAAGTAATAACACTGATGATTTGTAACAGTACCAATTATTACAATAATTAGACATTTCATAACACATAAGAAACTATAATTCATAAACAAGAGATAACAACAAATCTATAACACGATTTATTGTGTGATAATAACCAGGATGGTGAAAATAATATTTCCTAATTTCAAAGCACTCAATAAAATCTTTTAGTAAAACAAAAATATAAATATACAATATATATACAAATTTTCCTTCAATTCTATATGAATTGGGTTGCGTTCGGAACACAAGATCTACGACACTAAAATGTACAAAAATTTACTTATCTTTTTATTTCAATGTTATCTTTATATTCCTGGTAGAATTGGCCTACGAATAAGAAAAATATAACTCAGATTAGAATAAGCTATTTATTTCTAAACAATAAAGCATGGAACAGAAAAAAGGATTTTATGAAACTGAATTCTATTTGTTTCTGAACGCCCCATAACCGTGAACTTGAGCTCTACAAAATATAACAAACTAATAACGTGTAAACTAATAAACTGTTTGCAAAATGCGTAAAAGGTGTTTAATGTAACCCGGCAAAACCATATTTAGCAAATTTTTGCAGGTTTAATTTTGTGACTACTTTGGTAATTTACCGATTTATAATAATTGTATTTATTGTTGACCAAAAACATATTCAAACACATTCATATATGAAACACTGACACGTATGACGTAGGTAATCAGTATTGTGACGATATTTCAGAAAAATCACGGGCCAGCCTGCTGTTTCTAATACCACCGAAAACATAATTGCGTTTTTAGAATAATTAATTACTATACCTACGATAAATTACAATATAGTCTCAAATATATACTAGAGAAATATTGCATTCGAATCAATGAAAACATTCATACAAAATATGTTTAATACACAAGAATGTATTTTAATACAAGTCAAACAAGTACACGAAGTTTGGCAACGCTTTTTTTCGTCAATTCAAGGTCAGGAAGGACGGCATCGTCGCTCTACCTACGACTTTTGGTATTTATGTTGCCACACAACAATAATAAGTAATAAAATTGTTTACAAAAAAAACATAGGTGTCTAAGGTCATTAGTTTTATGTTATTTTATACTGTTTTTTTAACGGTTGGAAAAGAAATTTACCAATTATTGAACTTAAAATATTGATTTATCAGAATTATTTAAGATCACTTGCATGCCATCTAGCGTGCCAATGTTTAAACGTCGCCTTTCGTTTGCTTATCAAAAGGCACGTACACTACTAAAGAAGTGTCAAATTTTTTCAGGATTTCACTATTGCTTTTCTCAGTATATAATGTAAGTTATTGCCTATAAAGGTCAAACGCGTGCACATTTCATTGTAGAGAAGTGATAAAATGATTAGTTTTAAAGAAAGAGTGTCTGTGTTTAGTGTATAATTTGATTTAAAAATGTATGGACGGACGGCCGGCGCTTCCACCTTAAGTGTTATTATTACTCATGCACATGAAATTTCTTTCCAGAGGGCGCATGGTGCGTTCCCAGCCGGCACTGGAGGACCTGCGAGTGCAGCACTACCATCAGCTTCGACGTCTTGTCGCGCTTCCTGCTACCTTTGTCGGACTGACTAATACTGTCACCACGAATCAATCCATATTTGCCTCAATCGTTGATAAGTAAGTTTAAGACTTCAGTGATAAAACCTGTTATAATAAAACCTGTTATAATTTTTTTGCAATATTATGTCAAAAATAAGTATTTCGATAGCTAAACGAGTTGTGAAAAGATTTAAAAAATCGATTTATTAATCAGTTGAAATTTTGCCTATGTTATGGTCGTTGTAACAGAAAATCTATAATATCGCGCTAACTTTAAGGTTATCAAGTTAATTAAGTTGTGTGTGTGAATAATTGGTAACTTTTACTCTTGTGGGTCTTCATTCTATAGTGGAGATCTAAACCTATTAGCAAATGATTCGAAAGGCTAGATCATCCATTTACCATTAGATGAATTGTGCACGTGATGGTAAGTAGATGTTAGTGGATGCTGTGGTCCATAGGCACCTCATCAACATTTTCCTTGAACACCAATTTATCCTTGATTGAGAATCAAAATGTAGATGTTGTCACTTGTGAGAACTTAGATGGAACTCTAAGCAGTACTTCGGATTTCTTAGCAGTAAAAAGCATTTCCGTTTCTTGTCACTCATCGTACAATACAGCATATACCACTATTTTATGCCCATATTCTGTAGTCCAGCCGAACCATCCGTGCTATAGCTCATCTAGTTGCGGCGTTACTCTACCATATGAAAACCTTCAACTATAATCTTGCGTTGTAGCATGGTGCAAATGACAGGATACTAGAGCGTAACTTGCAAGTGTTTGCAGGATTGCAACAAAATTGTTATATTATGATAAAATAACACTGAGTTAATTTTAATTAATTTCTCTTATTTATCATTATTATTATTAGATATAAAAATCCACCCAATCTGGTTTTCTTACTGATAAAATTATAAAAGTTTAATTTTAATTTGCGAGCTCAGTCAGATACTATGCTTATCTTAATTAGTGAAAATGTTTTTTTTATAGGTCACTTATCATCAACTGATGATAAGTGACTACCGCCGCCCATGAACAACCGCAACACCAGGGGAATTGCAGATGCGTTGCCGGCCCTTTAGAAAGGAGTAAGCTCTTTTCTTAATGGTCCCTAAGTCGTATCGGTCCGGAAAAGTCGCCGGTGGTAAACAATTCCACAGAAAAGTTGTACGAGGAAGAAAACTCCTAGTAAAACGTCCAGTAGTGCACCGCCAAGCATTTAGATGGTGAGGATGGTATCGGGAGAACATGACATGACACAACAAAGGCATGCAAATCCCTACGCAGCGCCAGTGAATCGAGCCGATCAGAAAGAACTCGGTCGTTGACGATTCGAATCGCTCTACGCTGGATGCGGTCAAGTGGAAGAAGCTGACACTGGGGTGCCCCGGCCCAGAGATGAGAACAGTATTCCATGTGAGGCCGAACTTGCTTAAGATCTCCCGGCCTCTATAAGATATGTTTTGGGGGCTCCACCCCATGAGCAGATACAATAATTTATGAGACAATAACTTTATGAGAGAATGAAAGGGCGATATATGTCTGAATTAGCAGCTTTTTTGTCGCTACAGTTTTTAGGTTCTTAAATACTAGAGTGAGTCTCCGAAGTCGTTTAGATACATTTGCTATATGAGGTTGCCAAATTAATCTTTCATCGAGGATTACTCCAAGGTATGAGGTTATATTGTAGATGTTCGTTCTAATATTGTTAGAGATGCACCGGATCCTACTTTTGCCGGAAACCCGGCAATCGAGTACCCGGTGCAAGCTTATGCCGGGTAGCCGGGTACCCGGTAAAATTATCCGGCATGAAAAGACGTCCATTCCACTTCTCCGTTTGGGTTTGGGCGCGACTGACGGTCAAGTCAAGCGGTTCGCGCCTCGCGCGTTCGTGCTGGCAGGCGGACGCTCGGTAGTTAGGAAGGAGAGGGGATGTACCTACCCACAGGCTGCCATTTTGCCACTATTTGTTCACGTGCTTAGAATGATAACTTTGATTTTGTACAATATAACCTCAAAAGTGTATAAATTAACTATTATTCATACAGTGAAGTTGTCAAAAACGTAAATAAATAGTTATTTTACTTGAGTGAAAACCAATTATGGCAACTTCTTCGAAAAAGTCACCAGTTAGGACCTATTTTACCCAAGATGAAAAAGTGCTAAGTGCAATTTGTATCAAGTAAATGTCTTGTAAAAGCATTTGCAATTCAAGCATAAGGTGAAGTATGAACAACTTTAAGGTTCTTTATGTAACTCTCCTTCTCAATATGAATCGGGCTCTGACTTAAACGTATTACAAAATTCACAAATACGCCGTAATACAAAACAACTATCTTTGGGAGAAGTCCTAGACAAGAAAAACCTTTGGAACGTAAATGATTCCCGAGCAAAACGTTAACATTATCTTCTTGGAGGGTTGGGGTTTTTTTTTTTTTTTTTTTTTATTATATGTTGTTGGTTTTTTTTTGTGTTGTTAAATTCATACTTGCCGTCGACAATGAGCCAGTCGTGGCACACTGCCCTTTCTTTATTGAAGCCATCAGTAGTGGAAACTCTTACAGCTGCTCGAAGAATATTCACGCACTTTAACCATTCTGGTTATACCAAGTTACATGAAATTCAAGCTGAGCTGAACCTACCCCTGCATAAGTTGCACCAAGATGTTCAGACCAGGTGGAACTCGACATATTACCTCCTAGAGAGACTGATTGAACAAAGACATGCCATATCAGTCTACATTTCAGAATCTAGAAGTAAATCCTTGAACTTCGATAGTTTATCAAGTGAGCTGTGGGATATTGCGCAGCAGTTGATCATGCTTCTGAAACTGTTTGAAGAAGTTACGAAGATTACTAGCTCGACGTATTGCTCAATTTCAGATGTCATTCCGCATGTCGCTACATTGTCGAGATATTTACAAAAAGAGGAGTTAAAACAACATAATTCACAAGTTGAGGAACTGAGACAGTCTCTGCAAAATAACTTGAACGTTCTGTTTGACTCTGTATCGATGCACGAAAACCACTCTTATTTACTATCAACTTTATTGGAACCTCTTTGCAAGCCCTTTTTTTATAATTTTTATGAAACTGAAAATGCACGTAGAGCCATTTTAAGGGAAGCTCTACAAATATCCATGAGAGAAAGGACCAGCAGGAAAAAGGTCGAGTTTGGATGTTGGAACACATAATTTGTTTTGGGCCATTTCTAAAATCATCATGTAAAAAATTGACTAAATAAAACGAGATAATTTTTTTTTTGATATTTAATATTACCTGTATTTTGATAAAATAATTAAAATATATAAGTTTATATCCAAATACACGGAAAAAAGTAACAATGAAGTGGGGAAGTTTTGGTGATTTTATAGTATTGTTTTTTAATATTAAATCATAATATTTTCGTAATTTAAACTTTGTGTTGCACTAAAAAGCTATATATTCCATTATAATAACGCTTAAAATAAAGTATTTTAGCTTATAATAATAGTTGTATTCGACCTGAAAGATAACTCTGATGCATATTTTCATAAAACCCTATGAAGGGATTGTCTTCGCTCTAAAAAACCGTCATTAAAAACTATAATTTTGCTTTTCAGTGCACTAAATGAAGACTCTTTCTAAAGCCGAAATTTTCTGTAAATAATCTGCTCATATCGTTACGATGTCACCCTTGAAAAAACCCTAAAACATGAAGTTTTCGGCGCAAATCGCATATGTCCTCTTAAGACAATACTAAAAACAGACACAAGCTGGTGGTACCAGTTAATCGACTCCACCGAATCAGTAATTCATTCTTGGGGCGATGTATACGCTTTTACAACAAAATCCCAGAAAATATACAAAATTTGTCATACGCAAAGTTCAAAAATGTTATTAAACTAAGTTTGTATAAAAAAGGGTTATTACAATATTAAGGAATTTATGGATGATAATAACCCCTGGGAATGGTGATCGCTACCAAGCTATTTCTAATTTGTCTTGTGTTGTTAATTGTGAACACGATTGTGAGCTATTATTTGAAAAAAATTGTCCCGCTGGGTTTCTTGCTGGTTCTTCCCAGGACAGAGGTTTTTTTTTGCGAACCAGTGGTAAATGAAAAAAGTGACTTTCAATAAGTATTGTTTATAATCTACATTGAATAAAGAAGTTTCTGTTTTTGTTTCTGTTTCTATTAAGGTTTGGTTGTGGTTATGACCGGCAGGCACGGCTGGCTGGGCAACAAGGCGGCGCGGCAGCTGGAGGCGGCGCTGGCGCGCGTGCAGGCCGCGTGCGGCGCCTGGGCGCGGCGCCTGGCGCTGGCCTGCCTGCCCGAGCCGCACGCCGACCTGCACGCGCTATGCCTGCGTCACCTCACCGAGCCGCGCCACTGGGAGACCAACTTCAAGGCCTGCAAGGCGTACGGACAGGCCGTCGCCAAAATGACCTTGTGAGTGCACGTTCATCACCAAAATCATTTTGACACACGACTGTCACACGCGATTTTCTCTAAAACTATTGATGATGTGATGACTTATAAGGTATTTTATCTCAGTGACAGGTTCGTTTCGGCAGCTTGAATCCCTCACGGAACAAGTTGTTTTATGCCTTACAAAATTCTTCCGGGTCTGAATGGTTATCCTTGTGTAATTTATATATGTAAACTGCATCTACACTACAGGAGAAAATCCTAGTGTGGAGGTAACGTTTTTTTAAATCCACCATTGAATATAGACTTTTGCAAGAATTCGCCTATTAAACATATTATAATTTTAATATATATATAAGTTTTATGAAATCATATACTCTCACTCGAGCTACGCAGCCATGTGGGCTACAGTGATACTCTCTACCAGCTTCAATATAGGTGTTTTATGTATAAACGCTAAAAGACGCGAATCAAATGGCCGATTTTCAAAACTGAGACGGGACATAAAATGCGATTGTTCGCAATCAGCCGAATTTATACCTATAGTTTTTCACAAAAGGCCGCACCCGGTTGTTAGTTGGCCGATCACTTTCACACGGCTTTTAATTTCGTAAAGACGAGAGTTAGTTTAAGTAGAGACTTACTGCTTTGACCGAAATTTCGTTTTGAAGACATTATTAATTCTCTAAATATAAACTCAAGTATATAAAAATAACAATGTTTATTATTGTATCTAAAAAATTAAACTTATCTTTAATTTATAGCGAGGACGAGAAGATCGACTGGATATCATTGGGGACTGTTAATCTACGGCGCGAGTTTGAAGCCCAGGCGCGCAATCTTTGGGCCTGCTTAATGTCGTCTCTGCAAGCGAGTTGCCTCAACGATACTGCAGAGCTGGACACCTTCGTGGCTAATGCGATGGTCATGCTTGAGAATAAAACGATGCCAAAAAATGCTAAAGAATTGGCAGAGATCAGTGTGAAGCAACAGGCTTTGCAAGATAAAATGCCAGAGGTATTTTTTGTGTTATATATAAAAGGTTTGAGCTTTAGTGGTTTTTCAGTGTTTTATTATTGGTAATATTAGTATATCAATCACGCTTAGCGTCAAAGTTACGAGACGTCTAGAATCTGCCATCCGCAAATCATCTTTGCAACGGGAGAGATCCTTAAAGAACAGTGGACTTTTGTGGGCTCACAAATAACAAGGAAATTGATATATTTATTGTGAAATTTTATTTAAGTATATGGCATCTCTTAATATTATATCTTTTGTACCCGCTGATGGATATAGGCCATTCAAGAGAGAAAGACATACGCACCACCATGGGCAAACGGAATGGAGGCATATTTCATATTTATTTTATCAAAGTTTTTATAAATGTATATGGCAGAAAAGAGAAAAATGTAGGACATATTTGATCGACAAATGTTGATTTTTTTCGTATTCACTAATTCGTTACATTCACTACAACTTGAACTTTTAATTATATCGTAATTTGCAGATGGAAAAAATGGTGGAAAATTTAAAACGTAAGGGTCAAATGCTGCGCACTTGGGGCGGCGACACGTCCGTCGACAACACGCTTAAAGAATGGCAGAAAGTGCGCGAGCAGATGCTGAGCCAGCACCAGATATTCCTACATCAGGTATTAAGACAAATCTCTATCCACGTAGACTGAAATACACAGGTAGTTTGTTGAAATTTTGCAAAATTACTATACTAATTTACTGCTACTATGAAATACTAAGTAGGTATTAATTGAGGGTAAGGGCATTTTTCTGTTAGGAGTTTATCTGGTAGTAACCACTCCCACCTATTTCTACTGTAAGGCAGATGTATATCCACTTTTTTGTTTTAACAGGTTGGATTATTTTAACAACTATCACTTTTGTAACTGCATCATAAACCGTCTTTTTCTATTTTGTAATTACTGTTTTTATGTGTAACATAAATAAAGTGATAGAACTTTAGACCAAAGTTTAAGGAGACATAGAATTTTGAAACACCCTTGATGTCAGCCGATTTCGCCGCCCGTGAAGCTATTTACTACTTACCCCGTCATCGCATATACGAGTATGCTAGCGTTTATCACGAAATTGGAAATAAAACAATTTGGGATATTATTATAATCATTATCATTTATTAACATCATGAATGTACTTATAAATTAAAAACATTTATTGAGCAATATCATTTTTAATACTATAAGAAAAATATTATTTAGAAAGTTTACTGCTTTATTTTCGTGCCACTTTTTTACATAAATTGTTTCAGTTTTCGATTTTCAAACTTAATTATATGCATTCGAATGAACCAATTTCTTTCAAAAAAGTAGGGAAAGTATGGCCTACGTTTGAATTCAACATTACTGGATTATTCCGTTTAACCACCGTAAGAAATCAACCCTAGTGTGGATACTCGAAAACGCTTGTTCATTAATTCAGTCCAGGCGGGATGGATAATCGGAATTCATAAATTATTTTTCTTCCCATTTTCTCCCTCGCCTGTGTACAGTCGCTTATAAAACATGATGGTTGTTTGTAAAATCTTTTTTGAATAATGATGATAATATTATGGCGTTTGTGAAATACTACGAAAAGACATGACTCAAGGATGAAAATAATGCTACTGTTTGGAAATGATTCGTAGTGCCTCACAGAACTACAAATTCATTAGAATCTTGGCATAAAACTATTTCAAATGAAGTTAAAGACACACATCCAAACATCGAACTATATTACTTACGTAGTAGTAATACCTAAATGCATCCAAAATTATTTTTTGAACTGCTTCCAAAAAAAACCGCCCAGTTTATTGCTAACACATATGTTGTAACAAGGAAATGTATAAAACAATTGCAAATGCACATTAAAAGAGACGAATTTATGCAGGATATACAATTACGTCTACTCAAAAATGAAATTAATGCTGGTCATTTCCTGGACATAGTGCAGAATTTATAAATTAAGTACTTATTACTATTTATAAAATGGAAGTTTAATTTAGTTTAAATGCAATACGTAATATAATTTTTGTTTAAGTTTGTGGTTATTAAAAATTAATCAGTAATATGTTAAAGTATGAATATATTTTCTGTTCAACTGTGCTTGGGGTGGAAAGGTGTAGCAACAATCAAAAAGTGATATTATGTAGTGGATAAATGTGGGGTTAGGGTTTATTTTGTAACTCATATACCTAATAAGAGTACTTCACTAATATAGATATTATATTTTTGAAAACGGCACTTAAATTTTTAATAAGTACTATGAAACACGCTCGCGTCAACCGCACGTATTGTACAGCGGACTCAGTGGAATGCGCTGGCACAAGGTCGCGCCGCCCCGCAACCCCGCAAGTCCCTCGGCGTTGCTCTGCATCAGTACATTCGTTTCACAATTGTTATACTCTCTTTCAACTGTGCTTAGAGTATAAATAAGGAAGCTATGTTTATAAATGCTATGAGAATAGAACCAACGTAATATGAGAATAATAATAAAATTCACTGTAATTGGGGTAATCGACGCTCTGATCATTTAATCGTCTTAATTAAGAATTATAATCTGTTATTAATCGGTTTATTTGTTATTGTTTAAGGCTGAAATAGTAAAGTCTAGTCTAAAAGGCGAATGGGAAAACCTGAACGCGAGCGTGGAGGCGTGGCTGTCGCGCTGGGAGCAGGCTAAGCTTCGTCTTGAGAGTTCGCAAGGGGCGCACTACGCGGAGATGGTGGAGCGCTGTCGGACTGTGTTTGAAGCGCATGCGCAGTGGCTGAAATATCTTGCTGAAAGAGACGAGCTCCAGTAAGCTAACTTTCGTGTTTTTATTAGTAGTAGTGTAAAAAATCGATCATCATATTATCGCATTCGTGGAAACCGTCAATTTGCCTTATTATTTGTGTGTTTTTTAAACTATTATACGGCAGAGTTTGACTACTATCCCACATGATGGTAAGTGGTGATGCAGCCGAAGATGTTAAAGCAAACTGACTCAGCTTAACAAAAACCTATTCATTTGACGGCTTCGTGGCGCAGTAGCTTAGAAATGAGTTAAGTTAAGTGCTGCGGGCTCGAATCCCCCACGCACGTATAAATCGACGCAGTGATACGCACGAAGACCGTATACGTGCTGCTAAGGTTGATTAGACACCACTGTCGTGTCGTTATTTATGGTTATTTCTAGATTTTGATTAGAGAGTCGTTTGTACAAATATTTATCGACTTTTGGAATAAAAATAATTCTACGGATTTTATTGCGTGTAATTGTAACTTTTTAAATTCACGACGTTTCGGGCACTTTAAAACATCCATGGTTACGGAGGACTGGAGTGTTCGACATCCAGATGTCATAGTTAACAAACGCTACTTTCAAATTTTAATTATTAATTTTTTGAACTGAAACTACAGAACGAGCTTACATTATCTTGAATTCTTGCAGTGGTATGCTTGGTTTTGGATTTAATTTTATTAATTATGGGATCCCAAGCAGATGATAACATCAAATCATATTATTTATTGAAATTGGGATATTTTTTAATTTCAATAGCCTCACGAATTATACTTGATAGGAATCGATGTTCTTTTGATGTTGGATTTGTGGTCTATCAAATCTTATATTAGATTGAGTGTAGTTGGGACGATTTTGAGCATGTTGACCTACTGTAGACTTACCGGAGCGTCGTTGCTTCACGTCAGCTATATGTTCTTTCACGCGGGTTTTTATGGATCTTTTTGTTTGCCCTATGTAAGAGGGATATTACACTTGACCTTGACGGATGGTAAAAACTAACTAATCTTCTTCGGCGGCTTGTAGAATGTTCTAATAGAAGCTCGCTTCAAGATGTAGCCAATCTTGTCTGTGACACTTCTGACATATGGTAGTACAGCAGGCACACGCTCGACTGTGGCCGGCTTCACTAGGTCACAAAACGTCGTGCAAAACTTGCTTGAATTTTCTAGCTTTCAGATCTTTTGTGCTCTCTGAAACAAAAAATTTCCCACGGTAAGTAACTAACTGTAACGGATGGTGATGGGAATAGGCGTTTAAATATCGGTTAATATGGTTTTCTTTGCCATACACAGTGTGACTGATGGTGGTATTAAGATTTCGAATGACTAAAACATCTAAAAAAGCTAAAGAATGATTTGCGTCTAACTCCAAAGTAAATTGAATTTTAGAGTTTATATATTAAGTTATTGTTCTTTTAATTTTTATTAGTGAACATTTCTTATTTGACAAATACTTTAAACAATTTTTTGTTATAGGAAAGAATGCGAAAAGTTCAGTATGGATATTAAATTATCTGAAATGTGGATAAAAGCCGAAAAATTAATAAATGATTATATTGATCATTGGACAGTTTTCAAAGAATACAATGATGGTATGTCACAAAGCAATATATGTATTATATTGTGCTATATAGTAATATAAAAAAGCTAAATTGATAATGTTAATGTGAAAGTCGATGGAAGCAGGTGCCTCAGAACCGTGCTTTGTGGCATTCTTTGAGTTTATATATATATATATATATATATATATATATATATATATATATATATATATATATATATATATATATATACAATATGTAACGTAATTAACGCACACCCTCAGACACCCCAATTAGTATATTATGTTATAATCATAATACATACACTGAATTTTTAGTTAAACATTTTTATACACTGATTATTTATCAAATTAGTTATACTAATTCCGGAAGAATGTTGTGGTCACAGTACAAATCCACGAACGCAAATACTTTAACGTGCTTGAAATAAAGTTCATTTTTCTTTATTTTTATTGAATGACAGAATTAGTAATAATACAAATAAAACTGCACTCTTAAATGTCTTATTGCCTTAAGTTACGGTCCATTTCAGTTTGTTTTGACTGTACAGATTTAGTGTGACTGTAATTTACGTAGTTTTAATTATTTTTGGGATAAAAAATTACCTATATTATAAATGATAGGAATCGATTCAGTAAACGATTCTGAACAAACTACTTTCTCAAAGTGCGTTAATTATGTTACATGTTGTATATAAACTCAGAGAATGAAGAAGAATATTATATATATATATATATATATATATATATATATATATATATATATATAAACTTGTTTATTCAATATGGTATATCCATAAATTCCTTTATAAATATTACATTTACTGTTCTTATACATCCTCGGGCCCTTACACCATCCCATCCTGGGATTTTATTGGAAAAGCGTGTACATCGCCTCAAGAATGAATTACTGACGGTGGAGTCGTTTATTGTATATGAGGTTGCGTGATGTCCAGTACAGCTAATACGCCTGTTAATGCCTAGCAAAATGATCATGAATCTTCCCAAGGGGGGCGAACCCTATGTCCAAGCAGGGTGTCTGTTACGGGCTGATATCGTCACCTTATTATAATCACCTTGTTAAATTGGCGTTTTAAATATTTTAAAAGTAAATAAACATATCTGATTGCAGAGTTCGAATCCATATCCGAGCAAGAGTGGATCGTATTTCAAAAGAAGCTCCATCTGTTGGATGAGTTCATAAATAAATGGCGTGGGCAGTTAGAACCGTATACTACAATAACATTGTTCCTAAAACAGGAACTTGAAAAATATTCCGTGAGTATAATTACCAATATTGTATATAATAGTTATTATTTTATTTAAAAAAATGTCGTTTAAAGTTCCTCTGAAAATATTCACGTTGGCGCAAGACAAAAGCTACCTATTTGTTTTGATAGGTTACACCAGGTAAAGTTGAATCAGAAGCTGAAAACATGTGCGAAGAATATTGGATGCTTCACTAATAATATTGATGATTGTAAAACAGAAGCATCGCAGCTGGTTTTCATCATTTGTCTAGTTATTATAGATCAATTTCCAAGATAAATAAGATGAGAAATGAAATATTTAACATTTTTCAACTGTTTGCAGGACCTTACAATAGCATTGAAGTACGTACGCGGCACGGATTTTACAGAGCGCCACTGGAGGGAAGTTTTCAGTCTTCTAAACATTGATTATAAATCACCGGATACAATAAAGCTTAAAGACTTATTACAAGCTGCGGCTAATATCAAGAAACAAATAAAAGCTCTACAGGTGATATGCCACTATATTTAAGGCATGCCTCTGCCACGTTTAAAAACGCACTACCAATTTGTCATTCTTTCATTATTTCAGTCAATACAGTTTATCACACAGTTTAAAAAATATTTTGTAAATTATGGTAACTTTCTTTATTGTGTAATGACATAATATGATTTTAAATAAATGTAGGTACTCACAAGAGAAAATAATTTCTGCTGTCAAGATATAGTTCTTTTAATAATTTTTTATTTTTATATTTACGCGAATACTACCAATTACATATTACATATTACTTATTACATATTAAATGGAATTAATTTTACGGATTTTATCGTGCTTAATATTAACTTTTTAATTCCAGACGCACCAAACTTAATTTCAAACTTTTAGTCATCAGACTTCTTAATTCAAAAGCACCCGAAAGTGTGCTTTACAGCACCCATGGTCCACGTTGGGACTGAGGTATTTGACGTCCTGATGTCATAGTTGGCCCGGCTAACTTCAGCTTTTGAATATTAATTTTTCGATCCACGCAGAACGAGCTTACATTTATCTTGAAATCTTGATGGGGGTATACTTGGGTTTGGATTTTAATTTGCTTGCTTGAGTTCTGGTTTGGATTTAATTAAAGGATTCCAAGCAGATAGTAACACCCATCCATCTTTATTGAAATTAGGATGTTTTTTTAATTTCAATAGCTTCGCGAATCATTCTTGGTAAGATTTGTGGTCTATCAAATCTGTTGTATTGATCGCGAGGCCAATCTTTAACATGTTTGCAGACAGTTTTTTTTTCTAATTTAGACGTTTTGTTCGCGTAAATATATGAACTCATTTATGTTTGCAGACTGCATACCTCTGGGAGCGTCGGTACTTCACGTCAGCTATATGTTCTTTTACGCGGGTTTTATATATCTTTTTATTTATCCTATATAAGAGAGACTACATACATAATCAAGCTTGTACACTCCTGCATCTTTTAGAGGGATATTACTCTTGACTGAAAACAGGAATTGATTAATCTTTTTGGCGGCATGTTTTAATGGAAGCCCGTTTCAAGATGTAGTTAATCTTGTCCGACATATGGTAGTACATAGGCGCATGTTCGACTGTGGCGGGCTTCACTCGGTCACTGTGACATAGACGCGGGACCCGAAGCATGTTGTCGTGCAAAACTCGCTTTTAGCTTTTTTTTCGCTCTCGAGATTTTTAGCGTTCGGACCCATTGTGTTCTTAATATAGTGAATAGTGTTATCAGGATTTCGGATGACTAGGAAAGCTTAAGAATTATTAGCCTTTAACTCCATTGTGAATTGTATTTTTGAGTTTATGGAGTTAAGGTCGTCTAAGAATGCAGTTACTTTGTGATAAAATTGTGTAAGTATCATCTATGTACCGCTTCTCCAAGCGCATCTTGGATTTATAGGAGCAGCTAAAAGGACTTGCTCCTCAAAGTCCTCCATAAATATATCAGCGGCTATGGGTGATACAGTTGAGTCCAGTGCCACACCGTATTGCTTGTAGAACTCCTTCTTCCACAATAGCTAACCAGATGTGAGGCAGTGTTTGAGTAATACTGCATATTCTGCAGGCATGTTGTTTTCTTCTAGCTTATTACTTAAATTGAAATGCATTTTCCAATCGTGAACCGTGACCATGGATGCTGTAAGGCACACGAACGTCGGGAATTAAAAAGTTAAAATTAAACGGGATAAAATCCGTAAACTTAGTTTCACTTAAAATATAGTTGTCTGTTATTTGTGCTTGTAAATTTTAAGTGTTGTTCTTTATGTTTTCAACTATCACAATATTTTGTTGCGCTTAGAGTTGATTTTGAGGAAATGCCAAAATTAATTAACTCAGCCATTGGAACTTTGAATTAATTTTAATTAAATAATCAATAATAATATTGTGACTTCGGTATTTCTCGCATGATTTTGTAAGACGTACCCTGGTAAGGTCAACATGTTATATAGAGGAGAGGAAGAACAGTCAATGAGACGTGTTGCTTTCACCGAGGTCATTATTCTCCAAAATAAACATTTTTATATTATATGGTTGTCCAATGGTCGGAATTCGGCCGTAATTCATAGAAATATTCATTTTCATATAGGCATAGGGCAAGCTGTATTTCACTTTCAACTCGCTGTATGTATAGACGCTTTTTGATCACACATGCTACAGGCTACTGAAGAAATCACACAAAATCCACACGCACTCAGTCAATCTGTCAGCGTAACTTTTTGTTGGCAACATTTTGAAATTCTTTGGCGATAATCTCTACTCTTTGCGAATGTTTATCCATACACTATTATGTGTTACACTGGTGGTATGAACGTAAACAATGAATGATTATTTTTTTTATTTTAATGTATTTATAACACATTATTATGTATACATTGTAGCTTTCTGCACTCCTTCTACATGCACTTAAGCTATGCCAAATCTCACACTTCGTGCGCGCAATATGTTTAATAAGGAGTACAAAGTTTTCCCTTCGCGTATTAATGTATAGATTGATGTCTTGTGGGCTACACTACAAAAGATGTTCTTTTGCGAAAATATTGTTCTGTCAAATATGATGCAATGGTGGGGATGGCTTGCAACTATCTCACTAAATTATAAAATAAAAATAAGTAGTAGTAAATAGTTGGTAAGTAATTAGTAAACAAAATTTTTAAATGATAAAATGGTGTAAAATAAATCACCACAAAAATATAATAAAATACCGCAAATATACAAAACCTTAAAAACCAGCCTTCTCTAATTATGACATTATTAATATCTTAATAAACTACTGGTTTAATAGGCAATTATTTTAAAGTCGTTTCATTAGAGATCTAAGTATGTACTATGTAAAAGCTCACATTTACCTTTTGATCTATACTACTATGGGTACATGGAGTATAAATCTGGAATGGAATAGAATAAAATGTTTATGTTTTCAATAAAGATTACTTATGAAAAATCATTTATTACTTTTACCACTAGTTCGGTAAGTACCTCTGTCCTGGGAAGAACTAGCAAGAAACCCAGCGAGACTTTTATTTTAAAATAAAATCAATTTACATACAATATATTATTTTATACAATTAGTATGAAGACATTAGAAACAGCGTGGTAGCGATCATCTCATTCCAAGGGGTTATCAATTATGTACTCTTTAGGATTATAATAATTAATAACACTAAAAATTTTTGCTTAATAAAAATTTTTAACTTTTTGATAGATAAGGCCTGCATATTTTCTGAGATTTTGTTGTAAAAGCGTAACTTAAGGATAAGAATAGCTGAAAAAGGCAGATTGTAACATTATTTTTTTTTAGAAAATCTGTACGTTGGCTTCCAACGAGTCCGCCGTCAGGAGTGCGCTCAATGAACTGGAGCTGTGGTACGCCGGAGCGCGCTTGACCATCGTATACCACAACGATAAGACTAAGCGCCCTATTCCCATCGTTAAAGATTTCAAAGATATTTTGAATAAGGTATTTTTTATTACCAAATGTTTTTCGTTAATAAATGGATATTTTCTAATTTTGCTTTCCATTATTTCGTATTGCTTTTTGAAGTGAAATCTTTACAATCGTCGTGATTTGAAACTCGATGAAACGAAAAAGCGACATTAAGAAGAGACAAGCATATACATTTATAAATTTAGTGCTTATCACGATGTAACACTTATGTAGAGTAATGAGACGAACGTAATTACATGATAATACCAAAATAAATTATGTATGAAAACCAACGTCAGCACTGATTATCACGATGTAACACTTATTATGTACATTGGCGAGACGGACGTAATGTCCTGTGCATAGGCCTCCTTTCATTTGAAAGAGTGTTTTAGGGCAAAATAGCATTAACTAAGTTGCCACGGTGCATGTTGGCGAACTTCATATTATGTCTTCGAAATATATTTTTTTTATTTACCACACATGCAATTTCCTCACGTTATTTTCTATTACCGCCGAGCACGTGACAAATATGGTAGGATATCATATAATATTGTAGGGTTGGCAAACCTATGTACCAGTTGCATTCTTGCTGTGTGCGTACAATAAGTAAGCATAATTTTTAGATCGAGGAGAAGCAATGGGTGGTATCATCGGTGAGCGGGGGTAGCGATGCGTGCGCGGCGTGGGAGGCGCGGTTGCGCGCTGCGGCCGCGCTGCTGCGTGCCGCACACCGTGCGCAGCGCAG